CATTGCGGAGACGTCGGAGAACTAACTATCAATGGTTCACATACGCTAGACACCTCATTTCCAAACTTTTTCTTTATCATCGGCTACCTAGCTTGAATTTATATCGTACAATCTGCTATGGTCATAACCGAGATCATCTGCTCCAAAAAGAGGCTTTTGCCACGAAAAGGCTCTCCTGCGGTTAGATAACTTGTAGTACAGTACGGTAAGACATCCACAGATGGCAGGGGCGACTGAGCGGTTGCGGGCAAATGAAGGCACGCCGAAGTCCACACATGAGCTCACATGAGCTCTCTTCTCTGTCATCTGTCATCTGTCCTCCACTTCCCAATGACGAAGCCAGGTTGTTTTCCTATGCAATGACTTGCGACATCCCTGTTGGTGCCTTCTGATCAGAACCGAGAGAGATTCCTGAGTGACACGGATGATAAGACTAGCCAATGGCTGCTTGAGTGGACCAAGCAGAGGTAACAAGGGTAACAGCACCGTCGAGAGATTGCTGTCTCGCCAGAAGAGCGTTTTGTTTCGGATCTGTCACGATTGGCGCTACAAAGCTGACATCTCCACTTGGTGGCTCTTAGAGCGGACTATAATCCCTGACCCCAGCATGGTTACGTCGAAACCATGATAGCTCCTCAACCAAAGCTCGCTAATTGCTGCAAGACGCCGTTTGAGGTCGACCGGCGCACAGATGACCAGACGCACTGCTCCGCATCGCAAATAATGATCGCTTGCCGATATGCATATAAACCCAGGCTAGCCCCCGGCACGCCTTCGAAAACAACGAAACCGTGGTCAACTCACAATGGTTCCATCTGCTACGATCGAAAATCTGGGAATACTCCTTATACTCTATTATGGCGGTTGGATACTCTATGCCAGGTGGCTCCATCCCTTGGCCATATTCCCCGGACCTCCTTTGGCCTCGGTTTCCCGACTATGGGTCGTCCTGCATGTTGCCCGTGGCAAGGCAGTGATTGAGCAGAAAGAGCTGCATCGCAAATACGGTATGCTAGCAGAGCACTACAGTCGATTGCCCGTACGATGATGCTGACATTCTCCAGGGCCTATTGTTCGTATAGCACCAAACGAGCTCATCATGAATGAAGCGCGATCCTTGAAGGCTATATACGGTGCTAACTCGGGGTCTCAAAAAGTGAGCATGCGGCTTTATCTGGCTCATTCCTCCAAGATATCAGATAACAGAACCCGTCTGACTATCTAGACCGACTTCTACTTGGCTTTCCGTCCGCCTTCGGGTAAGTCTCAGGTGGCACATTCGATCGCATGACGCTGACGCCCTTCTAGCACGATATCCAGACCATTTCTCAGCAACCGACGAACAGTTGCATGCCCGCAGGCGACGAATCGTGAGCCATGCCTACTCGATGTCGAATGTGCTCCAGGCAGAGAAGTACGTAGATAAGTGCACCGATGTTCTTCTCGAGCGCTTCGCGGAGCTCGCCCGACAAGGTGCGACGGTCGATTTCTTCCGGTGGGCTCGAATGTAAGTTCTCAAGCTAGAATCACGCAGCCCTCAAGCTCAAACTGTACGGCAGGTATGCATACGATGCAGTCGGGGAGTTTTACTTTGGTCGAATGTTTGGGTTCCTCCAGAACGGACACGACCACCTGGGCTACATAGCAGCCACCGACGTCCTGATTCCAGTCATGGCAATCGCTGGTGTCATGCCTTCGTATATACGTCCAATCTTCATGTCCGTTGGGCTCATGTTTGGCCGGATACGAAAAGCCTTCGGGGCGCTTGGCCACCTCACAAAAGCAGCCGATATGGTGGTAGAAGACCGCATGAGTGAAGCGAAGAAGGCAGAAGGACGTTCCGGTCATTCTGATATTCTCACGCGGATCTTCGATATTTATTACGATAAAGGCAAGTCCCTTGATTTTGAGGTGACGGATGTGAAAATGGAGGCTTGGGCTGCATTGTATGTCCTCGCCGTCGAACCCAGTGCGCATTGATCACTAATGAATGCGCAGCTTTGGTGGAAGCGACACTACGGCTATTACAATGGCGGCTACCATGTTCCACATTGTAAAAGATCGGCGGATCTATCAGACATTGCTCGAGGAGATCGATACGGCGACTGCCAAGGGAGAACTGGGGGCTTCGCATATTGCCTACAACGAGGCTGTGAAACTACCATTCCTTAGCGCATGTCTCAAAGAGGGCATGCGAGTCCATCCGACCACAGCGTTGACACTGCCCCGTCAAACAGCCAGCGAGGAAAGAATGGTATCTGGCTACAAGATTCCCGGTGGCACACGGATTGGTGCGAATGCTCCTATCGTGCAATCGGACCCATCTGTGTTTGGGGAGGATGCAGACGAGTTCTGTCCCGAGCGTTGGATGCGCCCGGGAGCTGATCGCCTAGGACAGTATATTCTGCATGTGAGGAACACTGTCAAGCGGTGAAATGGAATATGTGTACTAATTCTGGTGCAGTTCGGTGCAGGGTCTAGAACTTGTTTGGGAAAACATGTAAGCTCGCTTTACACTAAGGTATTCTACTGCGGTGACGTCGGTACTAATGCATTTTGAAGATGGCGATGTGCGAGTTGTACAAAGTCATACCACAGATCCTCCGGTCCTTCCATCTAGAGCTCGATTCGCCATCCGAGCCCTGCCTCGCAACCCAAGAATATTGGTTCAACAAGCCCACTGCTGTCCAGCTGAAGGTGCAGCGGCGAGAGATTGGACGACCAGATTAGATACTGTTGATAAACACCGTATGGCTACCCTCGTAACCAAGAAAACCAACCAACATGCTTGAGCAAAGATCCACTTCATGACTTCTGCGGGGTGCTGCCATCCCATGTAAACTTCCGGATATGTTCAACTTTGACGTCGTTGATCTCGAAGATCCTAACCCAGGGCCGATAAACCGGGACAATCGGAAGCTTAGGACGTCCCTCCCCACAGATCGAGTCCAGATCGATGCCAAAACACTCTAGATACGCACTGTTCAACTCGGGCGACCATTTCTTCTGTACGCTCCGTCAGCAAAGCTCACTTCATCTTCTTCGGGAATCCATACCTGAGCCCGACAGAGCCTGCCAAAGCTTCTAAGGAAGGACCTCGACTCCGCCCACGAGCGCAGCTTCGACCCACCATTCCCCAAAACCTGATCAAACCGATGGCCCTGCGCGCGCCACGCCGTGTAGACGCGGAACCCCTCGCGCCCCACCGCCACGACAAACGTGTGCGCGAACGAGGTATAGTCCAGATCGCGGTTCTTGATCTCGCCGCGATCGAGCATCTCCACGTCCACCAGATCGACCCCCAGCACCGTCACCGTGGCGACCTTGCCATCGATCGCGGCCTTCTTGGCCTGCGCGAACCGCCGCGACAGGTCCGCCGACCCCGTCTTCCAGATCTCCGCCATCGACGGCAAGCCCCCCATCTCCTGCGACTGCCACTTCAGCGCCGCCAGCGTCGCCCCCCGCTCCGCCGGGCTCGCCAGCACCAGCACCAGCGTCGCCGCCACGTAGCTGAGATGCCAGATCGACGGGCGCGGGCGCAGGCGCGCGGGTTTCAGGCCTCGGTGCGGTGGGTAGGCCGACGCGCGCAGGCGCAGGTCGACGGTTGTCTCGCCACGCAGCACGGCCACCCGCAGCGCTGTGATTCGGTGCGAGGCGGCTTGGATGCCCTCTGCGAAGAAGGTGTGGAGTTCCGAGTCTAGGACTTCCAGTGCGGTGGTCGGGTTGGGGAGTGGCGGGTTGGGGTTTCGTGCGGTGAGCGCGGCGCGCGTCGCTTCGGAGGGGGATGGTTTGGGTGTGGCTGTCTTGGTGGGGTCGTTGTCGTTGTCGTTGTCGTTGTGCTGTTTGGTGGGCTTGGGGAGTTGGGGCTTGGGCTTGGACTGCTTGGGTGCATGTGTGGATCTGTGGGTGTCGGGCTTTAGACTCGATACAGTAGGTAAAATGTTGTGTTGTGTTGTGTTGTGTTGTGTTGTGGTGTTTGCCTTACCTCGATCCTGTAGCCTTGCCTTCTTCGTCGCCTTTCTCTTCGGGGTGAGGGTGCGGGTGGGGCATGGTGATCGAGCGAAAACTAGTCTACACGACCGGCTTCTGAGACTCCGGATACCGTTACCAGCGAGTGTAGTTGACAAGAAGAAAGCGAAGCAGCTATGTAGGCGAGGGACGAGGTGGTGTTGGTGTTGTTGTGAGAGAGAGGGAGGTTGGTGGGAAAGGAACAAAGAAGTTTCACCAGAGAAGAAGAAGGGGGATATGTTATGAACAGACGTCGCAGACGTGTTATGTGCTGTGCAGTGAATATTCTCGGTGTAGCTTACACTATTGAAGTGAAGGTTGATCACGATCCAGGTTCTGGTGATGATACTGGAGGATTGGTTTGTTGGCCGGTGGCCGGGTGGGTGAATATCTCAATCTCATCTCCCAGAGGTGTTGATCTGAGTCCCTCCCTACTGTGAATGGATTGTCTACCTGAAGAGCGGGATGATGGGATCGTTACTGTTATCACATGTTATCTTTTCTTCTACGCAATGAGGGGTCTTGAGATCCGAGTTTTCTGGTCCTTCTCTGAATGTCTCTGCTGGTATGGGAGGAGGGTTCGCCAACTGATCTTCTGGATATACTTGTGTTCGTCGGCAATGGCTCGACACATTGAAACAATGTATGCGGAGTACCTCTATTCTCTACAAGGCTATAACCTGAAGGAGTCTACGCGATGTTAGCAGATGAGGATATGAGGATGAAGAGAGATATCCAAGTCAATACAGTGAGAGGCATGCGAAGATTACCACTACGCTGCGCTTGAATCTGGAATATCATTTGCACACCCCTTCCCATGGCCCATACTGCCATATCTTAATTAAGTGTCGGTTTAATATACAATGGTGAATAAGAGAAAATTGCAGGACAGAGTGTATCAAATGCTCTGCGAATACCGAACGCAGGTATCATAGCTCACAAACAACCAGCGTGGAATATCCTCCTGCTCTGCAGGCACTAACTACAGCACCTCATAACAACTCGCTGCGGAAATGGAAAATCAAGACACTGGCAGCACTGTACGCGATCGCAATGATATTCTCGAACGCGGCGGCGCCCTCCAAGTTGGTGTACTGGGGTGGCAGCCGGAGCAGCTTCTGAGCCCCCGCGAGGATCCATTCATTGTCCTCCAGGGTCAACCTCGGTTGAGGGTCTTCTAAGCTGGTCAGGAGCTCGACTCCCGTGTGTACTAACGTGTGGAGATCCTTCTTCGTAGTGACACTTCTGGACGCAGTGGATTTGTTTAGGTCGACCGCGAGCACGCACGTCTTGTTCGTAATATCCCACAATCTCGCGTCGGGGCCGCTCCGCGAGACCAAGAACTTTTCATCCTCGGTGAAACACAAGGCAGCAAGATTGACTGGTGGTTCCTCGGCCGGATCATTCTCCTCATTCGCGAGATCGATGCAATATTGTAATTTGGGATCAGGGAGTAGACTTTGTAGAACCTCCCAAAGTTCGAACTCGCGCATCGCGTCACGAGTGTGTCCCAGATCACCCAGACATCTGCCTGTAACGGTATCCCAGATGTATAGCTGTAAATCAACGGACAAGACTGCTAGCAAGCGTCCATGTGGCGAGAAGCGAACGTCACGGAGATTTCTCGTTCGAATGACGGTAGGGGGATCCATAACCTCGCCCGCCTTGAGATCCCAGAGTCTGACCGATACGCGGGCACAAGTAGCTAGCATACTTCCATCTGGAGAGAGGGCCACCCCAGCACATTCTGCCACCCCCATGTTTGTAGTCTGGCAGCAGCGACCAGTCTCGATGTCCCAGAGTTGGATCTGGCCATACGACACCGATGCGAGGAATCTCCCATCCTTCGATATATCGAGTGCTTGACCGTCTGACGACAAGCCATATTTCGGTGCACTTTGGACTTTCAGAACCCGGAGAAGGTTAGTTGTTGTCGGCTGCCAGAGTTGGAGTATGCCATCATCTGAGATTACTGCCAAGATATTGCCATCGTTGGAGAGAGCAGATTTGAACAACGCTGACTAGTGCCGATTTTGTATTACCTGTAAACACTGGGCCTTGTAGGTGTCCCACATATAGATAGCTCCATCAACCGTTGTTGAGGCCAGGACTGAACCGTCTTTCGATGCCACGGCATGTATGATCTCACTTTCGTGGCCAGTAAGCCGTCGGATGCAGCAGCCGGAAAGCACGTCCCAAACTTGTATCGTACGTGAGTCAACCATCAGTGCCAGCAACTCTCCAACTTCCGACAGAGCAACTGCCCCAAATATACCGATTTCAGCGGGGATGCTCGATTCCTGCAAGCATTCCCCAGTCCAAGGATCTCGTTGTTGGATGTGATGGTCACGATTTGTTCCGCCACCTGACACTACCACTAATCTCTCTTCCTCTCTCAAGAACCCAACAAACACCGCTAGGTCTGGCAAGTCAATGGCCTGCAGAAGCTCCCCCGTCACGGGGTCCCATACTTCCACTATCTTGCTCGCTCCTCTAATTGCGGCCGATGCTAAGATCTTTCCGCAAGGGGAAAAAGCCAAAGCGCGACTTGACCACACACGACCGCTCAGGCTCTGCAGTAAAAGGCTCCAGTTTGCAGAGATCGATGGCATCCGATGCATCCAGTGCAATGCTTCCTTCTTAAAGAGAAGCCTGACTGTGCTCTGTGCTGGCACAAATACAAGCCCACTCAAGTATATTTGTAAGGGATATGGTTCGATTGTATATCGGCTAGATAACGTAAATCGCTTCGCGTCATGGATATATGCGTCGACACTGGGGTTCTTGGTATCACTTAGCTCCGCTTGTCAGAATGTGAGGCAGCAACACCTACAATCGTCATGGATTCCAGGGAGGCGACGGCACGAACTCCATCGGAAAGTCTCATCCAAATAAGAGCCTCTAGCCAATGTAAAAGATTTTTTCGGAGGAAGAGATCAATGGAGTCGTTCTTATGTATCTTGGCACCGCTCTGTTGTAGGTGGTGGACCCAGTAAAGGCATGCATAGCGCACGCCAGCTGGTAGCCACTGCTCCAATTGGCTCCGGCTAACATCGGTCACAGCAACAGCAGGGTTATCCAAGCCGAAGATCCCCTGTCCAGGTGGGGAACACGCCCATGATTGGGATATGATGTTCACACAGCACCCAGCCAAGGTGAGATGCGTCTGCCTCGTGTCTACATGAAATGCTTGCTCGGTACATCTCACTTCATCCAATATGAATTCACGCAACGTGGGATGGTGAAGTCGAAGGGGCAGATGATCATCTTCAGGAAGATCGACAATCGCGCTCAAGTGCCTGAGGTTAAGATGAATATCAAGGTTACTGATAGTTTTGTACTCTGGGCGTTTGACGCCAGATGACCGGGGTTCGGATTGGTACAAGGCGCCTAGTCCAACTACCGGAAGTGGAGAAACGAGCACAGCCATTGTTCCTAAGATAAGTCGAACGATGCTATAGATGAACACTTTTTTTTCAGTCGTGTGTCGCTCTGAGACGGTACTCCAAAGGACGGTGAGATAAATCTTGTCTAGCTCCGACTTTGGGTCGTCAATGGAAATGCTATCGTTGAGGAGGTGACTCAGTCGCTGGCGGGAGAAACGGCTGTCTGAACCGACAAAGTTGCATGCAGTCGCGGCCCATATGAAGAGACCACCGGATTTCTGAGTCAGAAGCTCAGTTGTGTCTGATCCAGGCCAGTCTTCACCTTGGTGATGATTTTTTCGCAATGATTTTGAACCTGTGGGCAAGGAAAACGCCTATGTCATGACTCACGATCTCCGCGTCTATATTGTGGAGCTTGAAGCACCGTCGCTTTTCTTGCGGTATGTCGTCAAACCTGGTCTCAGTCCTCGTATCAGGCCGGCTGGTTAGGAATATGCGCAATTTCACAGACTCTAGCATTCGTGTTTGAGCCAGAAGATGGAGGATCGTGGCGACTCCACCCGATGTTTCGCATTCGTCTAGGCACAAGTCTGTACTCGCTGATTCGGTTTTAATGCGCTCCGTATCCAAGCAACTGCACAATCTTGCCTACGCTCATCCGCGGGCTAGCAATGGTGTGAATCAAAAGAGTCTACTCAGCAGGTGGCGCCACAATCGGATCTACGCCACCAACCAGCAGCGGCTCCATTGCCGACTTTGGCTGCCCAAAGCAGGGCTCCAATCCAGTTGCCGTCCTGGTGCCAGAGTGTCTTGTAGCATTGATGAGAGACGAGTCGAGGGCCTCGGTGAAGCGCTAGCAGGTCGTTGCGCAACTGCTTCATCAGTTTCGTCGTGACTGATGACGGATTAAGGCGGATTCTTCCCCAGAAGGCTCTTACAGTATAGGATTTGAGTCCACATCTAACTGTTCAGGAGCTCGGGTCGGAAATATGTTATCATTGTGGAGGCAGTCATCCTCTATATCTTACTTGGATGAACCCCTTCTAGCCATACGGCCCGGGACACTACTCAGCATAGCAAACCTCTTTAAAATGTCTGGCGACGAGATAATCCTCGGTCTAGAGCAGGCTCTACACTCTGACTATCTCCACGCAGCATGATCCTTCCCTCTTCTTGCGATGGTGCAAGATCCACAATCAAATCACCAGCCAACTGCTCCATCTCGCTTGCCATCTCACAAGGACCACGCTCATTCATGTTGCGAGTGACCACGCTGTGTTCCAGCCCATGAAAAAGAAGAGGCAGCGTGGATGACTTCCATAAGCTAACATTTTCGCGACTGGTTATGAAAGCCGTTGCTACAAGCACGATGATGCCTGCCACGAGCAAGGCGACGGGAAGGGCCAGCCACGGCCATTGAACGGCAACGTATGAATCCTGCGTGGTGAGAACACCATAGATCGGATAGCTATGGGTGGTTCGCGCCAACTTGGAGACTGACGCGGCGATGTTTTCCATGACATTCTCGAATCCGAATTCGGTCGCCCTTTTCGCGACCCATGAAGACGTAGCCAGGTAATCTGTCCCACTATTCCACACCTTTGTCACACGGTCCAACTCATAGCCCTTGTTGAGGGTCCCAGCCAGCGGGAGTAAATCTTCCATGCGATACGGTCCGGGCTCCACTCCACAGAACTCATAATGAACTGGGTCGACCGAATATCCAACGGGATTGATATCAGTATTCGTATCATTCCAGTTTGTCAGCGGACTTGCGCTGGGTTTCCAGCAGTTATCGCCATAGCCATCTTGGTAGAATGATCCGAGATCTTCATCCATGATTTGAACAGAGCTAACACCATTGGTGACAGAGGCATTATACCTCTTAGCGCATATTGCCAGTGCGCACTCGGTCACTTGTGTGACTTCGATCACGCCTAGAAAGTCCGATGCGTTACTTGGCCAAGTTTCCGGCAGACTCAACTCGGCTTTGGATACCACGACCAAGGGTTCATCAACCCCTGCCACCCTATCAATGCTGAGAATATCGCCCAGATATTGATTCGGCCTCGTGTCGGCTATCCAGTATAAAACCTTCGGGACGAGCAAGTCATAGACCCCAGTGGGGCGCCATGTGATGTCAATTGAGAAATTGGATGGTGTCCCATTGATTCTAGATATCGAAATTGGAATTGTCTGGGGACTGAAGAGGCTGTAGTTAAACAAGGATACATTCCACCCGGAGAGGACCACACGAGTAGGGTCGATATCAGCACATCGACTGCATATCTCCACAGACTGGTACGGGGCCCAGGTACAGTTGCCTGTTGGACAGCTAAGGCCGAAGTCAATTACATCAGCCCAGATTCCGGTATTAATGGCACTTGTAAAGTCGGAATAATTGCTGGAATTAGGTTGGAAATGGCGTGACTGAGCTGCTTCTGCGCCTTCCGAATACCGATGTGTAGGTTTAACAGGATAACTGATAATTTGCTGGACAAAGGGATCGAATACCAGAGCCAAGATTATTACCAAGGCCGCGACGGTCACAAGAGAGCGACATTTATCTTCGAGTAGAATTAGGATCGAGCCCCAGGGCCCTCGGCTTGCATTGTCATATAATTGCACACTTGCCAGCCGCTTTCGAGCCTTCCGCAGTGTGATCCATCTCAGTTGGCCAATACATTGACCTACAGCAAAGATTAAGGCAGATTTTGCCACGGATGCGAGAATAGAGACGACAGTATTCAGTTTAACACCACTGGGCAGGTGGGGTGTTAACTGCTTGTTATAAATCTATTATAGAGTAATTAGGTTTCCCTGATGTTTAAGTGAGAGTTGGGGCTGATCATACCAGCAAGATACAAGCTATCGCAATAAGACATGCGATACTCAAGCAAACAGCGATAGACTCGTATATCCACGAGTCAGATCCTAGGGTACCCCAGAGGAACCGGTGGTGAGTCACATCTTGTAGAGATGGTGGTTTTATGACCTTTTTCTCATAGTTGGATAATCGAACAGGTGTGTAACCCCCTCTTGGTCCTTGCTTCTTCCTTCTGTGAAATAGGAACATAATCAAAGCAGTGATTATAACCATTAACACTCCGAATGTGACACCAAGGGCAATGCTAGCCTTGGTGCTGGTCGATAAGGAGGAATGTTCGCTGTAGATATCTGCCGAGTCATTTGAGGAACTCTTGGCGGGTATTATGATAGGCACATCGTCCGCATAAATTTCCGAGTAATTTCCATCAGGATCGATTCTGAGATCGGAGACACATGATCCCATGTCTGAAGTTTGGCTGAAGTAAACATAACCCCTGCAAGGAGATATGCTGTTAGTACACAGTGTGTTGACTGGCTAGCGATGAAGGATTCTTACGTCGGACAGCATCTTGCCCAAGTCCCAACTAGTGTATCATTCCGAATAATTATCTCTGTGGCAGCCGTGGCATAGCCACTGGGGCATTGTCCTGGAGAGAAATAGGAGTTTCGGCTCCATCCGGATGGCATACACGCCGTGTTGTTGTTAGCAAGGTGATAGTAATAGGTGGTCTTTGATTTGGACAAAGTCTGGAGATCGTGCAGACACGACGAGGGGGGTGTAAATACGGTAGTGAGCGGAAGTAAGGATGAGGTAGTACTTGTAATAGATGGTGTAGTGGCCATCTCTTACGAATTAGCACCTTTTTTGCGACCAGCATGTGATGAAAAGGGTTTTAGGACGAGACGTAGGGGTCAAGGGCCTTATATGCGAAAATTGCTAGTCGCTTAATCCAGTTTCTCTCGAGGGGTTCGATAGAGACTTGGAGGTGCTCATCGTGCATGGCAGAAACCAATCATACTCGCTGGGCCTGCATACGGAGTTGATCAGGCAAATCGGGATGCATGCAGTGGGCGGCGGTCGTGAGATACCTACGGAGTACCCCGTAGTACTGTGACACTGCGATAAATTGATTGCACCGTGGAAGATTCTTGCTCAAGGCTACAGCTACGAGTGGCGAGGCTGATGGTGAATCGAGACATGGGTTTGCCCGCTGGGCAGACAACAGGGGGTAAGATGCAATACAACCTGGTCGTCTGCCAATCACATTCCTGGATACGAGCTCACAACGGGTCTGGTGATTGGCTTTCGTGATCCCATTGGGGAAACCCGTTGGCTATCCATGATGCCAGGCGCTTCTTCCTCGCTAGGTAGCAAACAAATGTACTGTACCGACAGGGGTAGCGCTGGGATCAAAGCCTCCGCTCGAGCCCCTGAGAAAATGCTAAGCATACCCTGTCGAGTCTTTCACCGTGCCTCAGAAGGCTGGGAAAACCAGCCATCTTTGTTTATAAAAATGGTGGTCTTTAGGGCTCTCTGACGGCTCTTTCAATGTTGACCCGCACAGCCTCATAGGACGACTGATTCCCCCCACCTCAGCATACCTCAGCATCAACGCTAGCTTGTCATCGGTAGTCAGAATTCCTTACAGCGTCAACGAACATGAAGATGGAGATTGCTGCGCAATGTTTGACATAATCACAATACTCCTTATCGAGCGTCTTCCTCGCTCTTCTCCTTCTTGATAAATTCTTCGCTGCAGCTCCTTCAAACCTGTTCTTCTTTGCCGCCGCCTTAGGAAACGTCATCCCAGGCTCATTGTTCAACACTGTTATACTGGGAAACTTGTAGACCGTGGCCCTTAAATTTTGCTATTTACTTCCTCGATTCTTTTGAGCCAGAAATTTTCGACATCATATGCCCGAACATTGACAGGCCGATGGCCGTCATATCGTCTTTTTGCCCATATTGATACGTTCTAATTAGGCATCTGCTCCATTTTGTGACAGTGGGCAGTCAATTCTAGGGCAGCACGACCTCTTCACCTCATTTATATCAGTAATGAGATCCCGAGCATCGTTTGAAATTGGGACACTGGAAGTTATGGCCAGCTTGCAGGCAAACTGAGTAGAATCAAAGCTGATCACTATATATCAGAAGAGGTTTTTTGATAAGATGATTCTACACAAGAAATGATAGGTAAAAGACAAATCATCGCCAAGAAGGCATCAATAACCAAGATATAGGGTAGTCGACCTGGTTCTGGTTTAATCTTAGATAATGATTCGAGAACCAGACGACGCCATTGATCCTCAAGAGAATAGTTGGCAATGTCTTTTCTTTGGCGAACAGAGTTTTTGATTTCATGACGCAGAGAAGGATCAGCGTCCGCCAACTGCCGCGCAATTGTAGTCACAAAGCTCGTCGTGCGCTTGGTGTCACGATGGAGGACGGAGAAAAAGAAGCTGGCCCCAAGTCGATTCTCGTCATCATACTTACGAGCTACCATGCGGGCTATCGTCGACTTTCCTGTGCCAGCCAAGCCACTCATCCAAAAGATGCAGGGACCTTCGCGATCATTGGCCCAATGGTCAATGCCCTCAAGGATCTGCACGCGTGTGTTTTCGAGGCAGTAGGGGGACTCTTCACTATCAGCAATTGAGTTGAAGCGCGCGTCCTTCACGCAGGGCAAGTGTGAATCATTAAGCAACTGGGTTGCATCCCCTGTGATTGATTTAGCCGGGGTAGTGATAGTATTGGTCGGGCAACTTGCCATAGAAGTTGACATTTTCGGCCGTGCCGACGAATTGTCGAGAATAATTGGCAGCATATGCTGAGATGGAGCATCTTGAAGAATCTTGGTCTCCTTGGCTCGACAGACTCGACAGTTTCCTAGTCCTTTGATCGGGGATCATGGTGGTGTGGGTTTGGTGAATGCTGAAATGCTGGGGACAGAACGAGTCGACACCACCAGCAGCTTTCGTGAAACAAAATGCTGGGGATTATCTGTCTGATGGGAGCGCTAGTCTGGGTGAATCCGGTTCGGCGACAAGGCTGAATCTTAGCTAGTGTAGCGGTAGACTAGGTAGTAGGTAGTACGCACCGAGCGACGATTGGTTGTGTTTGAGGCTTAGCTGTGTGAGGTCAAGATAGTTCGAATAAGGGAAAGCAGGTAGCTGCTTATTATGCCCCCCAAGCCCCTCCCTAAATTTTGACCGATCAACCCCGGCGCTACACAACACCCGTTAACACCAGCAACGCCCATCACCCCAATATGGCTGAACCCATTGGCCTCACCGCCAGCATCATAGCGATCGCGGGTCTGGCGTACTCAAGTTGCAGGACTCTGAGCAGCACGATCAGGAATTGACGCGATGCGCCAAATATCCTCAACGACCTCCACGGGAATCTCCACACGGTCCAAAATCTGCTTCGGTCGTTACAGAGCGCTTTCGAGGGCCTGAATGAGAACGACCTGTCTGCCGGACAAAGGAGATGTTTTGAAGATCTCGAACCTTACATGCGTCGATGCGAGGCGACCTATAATGCTTTCGCAAAGACGCTGTCCCGGCTGACATCTCACTCTGATGAAGACAGACTCAGCTGGCGGGACCGAGGTCGCTTGCATCTGGAGAGACGGGAGATTGCAAGTCTGAAGAATGGACTGCAGAAGGGCATAGAAACTCTTGATATTGCGATCAACATGGCAACACTGTGAGTTCAATTCATACCGACCGATGCTCGGTGCTGATGAGGCGTCTCCAACCGCCAGTCGAAGCACCCGGCAAAATCAGGATGCGCTGCGGACTCTGGAAAGAAGAATTGTCACATCGATGAGCGAGTTTGCCGGTGAGATACAAGGCCTGCAGATGGCAATACAATCCTTGCCGTCTCCCTCTGAGAGCTCCAGCATCACCCGGACGGATGTTGATCAGGTGGTAAGTCTGTTAAAACGGCAAATTGACCTGATACAACAGAGCTTGAGGGTATGCGACAGCGGGCTGAGGGAGACCTCGAGAAGTACTGGAACGACGGTGGCGAATGCCAGAGTGCTTGATAAAGCCCGTCAGCTCATTGGAAACATTGGAAGTGATGTTCGACTTGGGCCTCACACACTACCGGTGAATATCAGTCATGCGGAGGCTAGGGACAATGCATATCATGGGGTGGGAAACATCTCCGATGCGGCGTTGGAGGCGTTCTTGAGATAGTAAAGCCTGAGCGAACTTCGTTGTGCCTGAAAGGAGGTAATGAGAAGTGAGTTTCAAATATATCGTGGATAAGCAAGAGTGGCACCAGCTGCGGCCTAAAAGGTTGTGCGTCAGCGATGCTGTAGCAGCGTTTGCTGCGGTGTTGTGAGCAGAGTGTAAGCTGGACCGTGGTTGATTTGCAGTCGAAGAATAGCACATCATGGTTTGCTCAAGCGATCAACGATGTATTGAGAGATTGAGGACAGTTGGGAAATGTTCGGAGGTGGAGGTTTACTAAGAGAGAACATGCATACTCAGAACAGTTGGAAGTCACCTGTTCCCCGGCTCTTTCCGTTATAAGGTTCCAACTCAACCAACTACTCAATTAAAGCCACGCATTGTTCATCAACACTCTTCAACGAAAACAGCCATTTGATTCGAACTTGGTATTATCAGTGTACCATGAAGATGAAGAGACAGAAGAAACTCCAAGATCAACCGCAACATCAGGTATAAGATTGAAGCGAGTTTGTGCACTTACAATCGAGCAACACCTGTTAAATAAAGACGGAGACCGCTGCACTTCACGCCCACCTCCAGTTCAAACAAAGATTCACGCTTGACCTTGTCAAGCAATACATCATCAATCCGGATGTTTCCACCTCCGGAGTTACCGAGATCCGAGTCCGTATATGCACGGCAGACTCGCATGGATACCCCGGATCGAGTCCAGGACCGTCGAAGTAAGTCCACTGCCAGACCTGACTGTCGTACAGAATATGCATACGGAGTACACGATCCATTCAATGCGACTGCAGAATAGATCGGATTGTCGTCATCACCATCCCCCCGAGTCATTACCCTCCAGTCCGGTTGGCAGACCCATGTCACAATCATCTGCAGATTAACTAACCCTGCCGACAGCGGTGTAACCTCTTCGAACCATGACACACTGCCTCCAATGGTGTTTCATCTCATAACAGCTATTCCATTCCCTGGCACGGGTGCATATTCTCGCTGTCTCGTTTGCACTGTGGCCAGGGGCACTGCCATCAGAGGGCCCTACCCGGCGGATATACCGACATGACCAGGTGGCTGGACCGAATCTCAATCGCATGCATCATGAGAAGGGTTAGGCAGCAGAAACATGGCACGCAGTGCGGTTGTATAAATACGTGCCCGTTCCCCAGGGCTGGCTGACTGACCGAGTCGCCCTCAAAACCCATTCTCTACTCAGCGACAGGATTACCTCTCATCCCCCAAACGCTGACTGCCTATACTCACTCGACCGATCCGAAATCTCCGCAGCGATGAAGCCTCTTACCACCCTCGTTCTCTTCTTTTCCTGCTTCGGCCTGTTGGCAGCTGCCCCAACAGATCTCGCCCATTTCATCGACGCAGCCACCCACTTCCCCTTCGTCGACATCCCAGACCACTTCCCCGCCATGTGCTCCGGCACTGGCTCTGGGTATTGCAACCTGGGAATTGCGAGCTATATCCCCTCGTCCGGGACCAAGATCCGCCAGGCGTTTGTCTACGATCGCTACTGCCGCGGACTCGGAGCGCGGCCTTTCGACACCGATACGGGCAAATGGTCCGTCTACTCGCTGCTTCCATACACAGTGGAGCTGTCTATCACCGGCGGGGGCAGGATCCCGGATGGGTCATTCATGTATGCGGGGCGGAAGACGGATCTGGGCAAGAAGATGTACTGCCGAGCGTGTTCAGGGCTCGGGGACTGGGAGTGCTGTCAAGTTGCTTTCGACTGTCATTAGGGGAGATTTGGGGTGGGTCAAGCTTAAAAGAGAGTTCGGAGTGAGAAAGCTTGCCCTCAGCACGGAGTCGGTGCCTGAGCCGCGTCGATTGGCGAGAGTTGATGACTGGAGTTATGTTGTTTGCTTTGCGTGTGTTTGATGATTTATATCCCCTGTCTGCTAGCAATAAGATTTGATGTGATTGAAGATGTTAGACATCCAGCAGAAGTAGTCATAGTCAGCATTTCAGCACAAGAAGATGTAGTGATTGTCGCGCTAAGGGGAACAACTTACTGGACACCGAAACTCAAGGCCGATGTTTGCAGCGTTTACAACATGTGTCTCCAGTCAGTAAGCTGCAGCCATGCAATATATTTGAGTTACAGTGAGCCAATTACCATTGATTGACTCAAGACAAGGCTAATCGAAGGATGGTGGTTTGCATCCTTTGTCAGCTCCGGAATTAACCCCGACACCGGAATGTATACAAGATGCCGGATGTTTAGCCTGATCTCCAGGCCTGTAGAGCGATGCATAAAAGTAGCCTGTAGCCTGTAGCCAGTAGCCAGTAGCCTCAACAACTCCAAAATAACAACCGCACCCATTTCTCAAAACACCTGAACCCCCCCCAACATCTGAGAGAGAAACAACAACCATGTCCCAAGACCCCCGCCTCAAACCATTCCACCACCTCCAAGCCCCCTACAAAACCTTCCAGGATACCACCACCAACACCTCCCAAGAAATCCAAACAGACATCCTCATCCCAAAGACCATTCCCAACCCCAAGCCCCTCCCTCTAATAATCTACTTCCACGGCGGAGGCCTAGTATGCCCCCCATCCCCCATCCCCCAGCCCCCAGCCTCAAGCCCCCTCTTTCTCACCCAAGCAAACTAACCAGAAAAAAGATATGCGGCTCCTCCCTCCACCCCGACTGGTTCCCAAACTACCTCCTCGATCTAGCGCAAACCACGCCTGCCGTCCTCCTCGCCCCGAACTACCGTCTCCTCCCGGAGGTCACCATCCACGAGGTGTTCGGCGACGTCCTCGACTTTTGGGACTGGGTGCACGCCCCGGCCAGCGTTGCCGCGCTGCTCGCCGCGGTCCCTTCACCCCAGAATACCTCGGACAGGCTCGCAGTTGACGTCGCCCGCGTCCTCGTGGCGGGCGGTTCCGCCGGCGGGTATCTGGGTCTGTGTCTGGCGCTGCGGGTTCCCGATCAGATCGGCGGAGTGGTCGTGGGGTATCCTGCTTTTTTGGGGGTGTCGTCTTCTGCGGTGGCGTCTGCTGCTGCTGCTGTAGCGGGGGGAGTAGCCGGGGGAGCAGGATCTTCCTCGGTGAGAGGTGACGATGAAGAGAGGAAGAGTGGATTGAGCAACGGGGATGGGGTTAGCCCAACCTCCACCACAACCACAACCGCAACCACAACCGCAACCACAACCACAACCACAACCACAACCACAACCACACCCTCCCCCTCTCCAACTACCCAAGACCTAAACCAAATGCACCACCTCCTCAACACAGCCCTCGCCCTCGCCGCCCAGAACCGCCGCCCCGTCCGCACCTCCACGACCCCCCCGGACCGCCTCGACCTGATGAATGCGGCGATGCGCACGGGCCGGATCGCCGAGCTATTCGCGCGCGGCGTCGACCCGGCGGCCCACGACCCGGACCGGACCCTGCGGTATCCGATGGAGAGGCTGGATGAGCCAGCCCCTCAGGTTCCGCGGGGTGGGATTGTAATCTTGCATGGGCGGGAGGATGAGGTCGTGTCTGTGGAGGATAGTGTGCGGTTCGTTGGCAAGGCGAGGAAGGTTTTGGGACCAGAGGGGGGTGCGGGGAAGGTGGTGGTTGTGGTGCGGGAGGGGGGGCATGGGTTTGATACACCTGTAAGATTGGGGGAGGGGGGGTTGGGGGAGAGTTTGAGGGGGGTTGTTGGGGGGTGGTTAGAAGTTGGGAGATTTAGTATATAGCACTATAGAAATGCAGGTGTGTATACAGGGTCCTTAACGAAAGCATGTTTACAAGATAAAAGCTACTCCCATGCAATGTAGTTCACTACAGGAAACACTAATATCGTCTCAAAACTCTTCCAGTATTCAATATGGTCCGACAGACATAGACCTATCTAACCAACAAAACAAATCCAGACATGATATATCCAACAACACCCGCCCCAAAGCACAAAAAAGAAAATCCCAGCCATAAATTCATATCATATAATTCATCAAGAACTTGTTATCAAGTCAATAGTAACAGCGCAGCAGTGAACGTGTCTCACATCCCGAATACATTACCACCTCTCGGCCAAGCCACCCCCTAAAAACACATTCACCACCCACTGGAAACCCGAGCAAAAAACTTAATAAGTATCCCCCGTCGACTCATCCAGATCTTGAATACGGTTGACTCCGCCCATGGGGGTGCCCGCCGCCAACATCATCTCGCGCTCGCGCCCGGAGGTGCTGAAGCGCTTCTCCTTGAGGACGGGCTCCTCGCCCAGGTTCTGGTGGCCGGTGCGGACGGTGGTGTTGCCCTGCGGGTCGGTGTGCGAGGCAAAGGCCGCGCGGTGGCCGGATTCTTGGGTGTGGGGGGGCTGTTGGTTCTGGTCGTTTGACGAGGAGGACGAGGAGGAGTACGAGGACGAGGATTCGAAGTAGGAGGTTTGGGAGGAGTTGTACGACATCTTGGTGGTTGGTGGGTTACGTCGCTTGGCGATGAGAGTCTAGGGGGATCGGCTGTGCTCGCGATATGTGGTTTAGGTTTGCGAGGTTCTTGTGGAGATTCGTGAGGGTTTGCACGGAAAGGTAATTTGCAAATACAAGAATTCAAGGTTTGCTTGCTAGAATTGATTTAGAGTATGGTGATATAGTGATGGTAGATTGCCTGGGGTAAGGCTGCGTTTGCGGGGAGATTCTTATACTGCGGCTCCGTGTGGCAACGATGCAACGATGATGTCATGGCGAGATAATTCCAGGGCGGGCCTCCTTATCTTTCCCCAAGAAATATGAAGTCAGCCCCAGTCCTTACCAATCCTTTCCCAATTTTTGAGGGTCAAGGGGGGATATCGTCATGCTTAGATGAGCCGGTCCATGTGTCAGGCCTGGCATCGCCCTTGATTGGTCGCCCATGACGATCCAGGGTAGCGGCCATTGCGAAGGCTGCATCATTCGTACTGAACTTACTGCAAGTATCGACCATCGTATCCACTCACGATAGACTTAACGCGTAATTGGGTGGAAGATTCACCCATTGTGGCTGTATAGCACGCGTGTTACACATGGCAAGGGGGATTGTGACTGTCAGTTGCTGGACATCCGAGACTAATGCCGCCCATCAGATCGGCATGCAGCCACTCCATCGACCACTAGCTTGGACTTGGGCCCGCAAAATAGATTAATTCTCATGTACACTTCCGGTGCTACCTACCCGAGTATATTTGAACATGAGTGATGCCTCGAGGGCAAGTAGACTAAGTCGATCCACTAACCGGACATTTTGTCCTATCCATCCTCAACCAATCCAGACAGATCCTGGTATGACTGTCATCATTCGACTTATTTTCATCTTATTAATCATAATCCTCAAAACTAGCTCCTATTCGTGTTCGAATCACCAGGAGCACCGTAACCAATTCAAACAGAGTATCCCGAAGCACGAGACTTATAATCCCACATCATATCATCCAGATCTCGACCGGACGCAGAAACCATCACCTTTCCCCTTTCGTCCACTGCAGCCGTATACAAGGCATATGCGGGATCATTGAGGGCGAGCTTCAGGATCCGAGTGGCAGCCGGATGGTGCCTCCTGACTCGGGCAATAAACCTGCTCGTATTTCCCTCGTACAGCAGCTCCGCGGCCCCCAGCAGCCCGACGGGCTCCTCCCATAGCACCGACCGGTGACGCTGGTGATAATAATACAAAATGATGTTGCATACCACAATAAAGGACAATATCACAATGATGTAGTACGCCGTCTTGGGGACCACAAATAGCCGCGTGTCTGGGGTAGAGACGGTTCCTGGGATTGAGGGCGGCTCATCGCGGTCCACCACCGAGCGAGGGAACCCCAGCCCTTCATTCGCTACAGCGTATATGGCTTCGAAAACTCGTTCCGTAGATAACAATATTTGGTTCCTGTTAGCGTACGGGTCCAAGGTGTTTGCTTCTAGGACGTGCCTATTGATGAGATAGGAGAACCCATCCACGGATAAAGCACCAGTGGGATCTCTGAATGATATGCTAGTCAGGTTCTGTTCGAACCATTCCCAAGTAGCCGGCCGAAACTCAACAGACTGGCTGGGATGGTCTTGGAAGTGAATTACCGAGCTGTTGTGTTTGTCTGAAAATCGGGTTACAAGATCACCGTGTGTCTTTCGGTATATAGGGGTGCATGACACGGCACTATAGTCTGCGATTTTGAATGGGGATATCAAGTTTCGAATCCCTGATATGATGGTAATGCGGCTATAGCCAGCATTCGCAGTGCACTCTCTCGCTGACAAGCTCCGGATGTAGTAATAGGTTGAGCTGTCCAATGTCATGGAGTATGTGACATTGCAGCCGGCATCATCAATTCCGACTGTCAGAGTTCCGCTTTCGCCGTTATATGGGATATAGTGTAGGGTAGAATTCTCTTCCGTGTAAACAGTGCAGTCAAGATGGCCGGACACAGCCAGGTTGTAGGTAGTGATATTACTAGGCACCTGAAAGCTGTCGAACCCATATGGCCGGAAGGCATAGTGCAGATCTGTCCATGCTGATGGTGGCGCCTTAAAAATAAGCATGGCAAATACCTCGTCGGCAATCTCATTCCAATCCAACGAGTCATCAAGTGCCAAGTCGTCCCATAGTTCCAGAGTTTTGAGGGTGTTAGTGGAATTGTTGATGACTGGTGTTGCAGTGAGCAGATGCGCAGAAAGAGGGACCACGGTTATGTTCGAGACAAGGTAGAGAAGCATGATGACTCCCAGAATGTAGTGCTTGTTCCGGATGGCCAAGTACCACGACCAAAGGAAGGGTTTACTGCTGTAATCGAGCAGTAAGGAGTTCTTCAGTGTGTTGCCCTTGCGTAACTCAACATACGGTTGTTGCTTGGACGCTGCATCTACCACCGAGGCCTAGAGGTCTCGGGACAGCGTGAAAAAGGCATTGGGCAAGCTAGTCCACAGATATGCTGCACTCCAAAGGTCCTGCAGTATCCCGCCGGGCCCCTTGTCTCGGCCCAGCAAATGTTGAACGGATAGTAAGCCATTACGGCTTTCTGATATGGCGAGGAGGATCGATAACGTCAGAACGGTTGCGATTTCAAGAACAAGAAGAGATGATATGTAGGCCGATCTCAAAGGGTAAGTCTTCCAGTCCCGTTGCTTAGAGCCTGGGGGTGGGGGATAGTCGCAGTCATAGCTGATGGTTGTTGTAGCACCTGGGAGCATCCGACTGTATTCCTCAATGAGCTCTACGGGGCTCAAATCGGCAGAGAAACCCAGAGACATGATTCAATTATAAGACACATTATGTCCTTGAGAAGATTGTAGAGTGTTTGAAGTGAGAAGAGGTAGTCGAAAGGCATCCCCTTGACTTCGCGGACGAATACTGCGAGTTTATGTGAGATGGTGACGAACAATGAATCCTGGTTAGAACGGATACATCGTATTTCCCGGAGGTTTGTCTTTCAGATTCTGACCTGACCGAGTTTCTCTGTGGACACATAGTGTGAGCACAAAGGAAAAAAGACAAGCCATACCAGCCTCCAAACCCAGTTTCGGTCCACATTGACCAGCTTTGTGGATGATAAGCTTTATTAGGGTGGTGGCCGCATACTGCCTGGGTCGCCACACACAGTTACTCAGGAGTCGTACGAGATCCAGAAGCAATCAAGATTTTATAGGATGAGATCTTATGAAAGAAATGATCTTGAAGACCTCATGATGAATTGGTGTCCTTCATTGCTGTTAATGGGAGAGGGAAGGGAGCTTTGGATGGAAGCTTGAAAGAAAGCTTTGAAAGGTGGACTCCCCGGCATCACGTGGCTGAAATACTAAAGCATATAAAAGCAAGCATACAACAACATGGCCTTTGCCAATCCCAAGAGGGGAGTGAGTGAGGACAGAGAAAGGAACCGACCAGAGTGAATTGCAACAAGTCCCGGCCAATCTAGAGAAAACCCCCAACTTCTCTTAATTGAGGGACTTCTGGTTAAATAGTCGCGTCAAAGAATAAGCGGAGAATTGCGCCATGTAAATAAAGATGTTCAGTGGGAAAAAGATCGACCAGTGAGTCAACTATGTTCAATGATCAGAATAAATACTATTAACCTGACCGTGATATGGGGAAACAGCCCCTCCCCCGCCGTCAACTTGAGGGAACTCATCTCGTAGCGTAAATTCACCGTGCCCATCGTTTTGAGCCAACCATGCCTCTGCACGGTAGATACCGCAACCTCGACGTACGACCAGATGAGGCAATGCCTTTCGAGGCATTTCATCTCGACTTGCTGGCCGTTGACATGCAGCGGTTGTTCCTGCAATTGCTGCATGAGCGGGCGAAAGACCCGAAAGACCGGGTCTTTGAGTTGGAAGATCAGGATGTGCCCCAGTTTCTCCATTTCTGCTCGGAGGTCGTGGACGTCATCCACGACTTAGAAGAGGACTGGCTTATAGCTGAGATCCGGGAGATGCTCGAGCATGTCTGCCTCACGTGGGCCTATATGCGTGGTTCCCTCGACCGAGCGAGGAGAGCTGGGCTCCGGCGACTAAACGATTCGCGCCGGGGGCTCCACACCTACGACCGGGCCTGGGCCAAAGGCATTGTCAAAGAGCTGGCGCGGGTGACCAGCTGCAGCGCGCATGCCGCCATTGAAGCCTTGGTACGCGCCGCCCTGAAGCCCGAAGATGTCGCACGGCTGCACGTAGAAAAACGACCCATCCCCCGGCGGACCGAGGAGACCGAGTGCACGATCTGCGGCGGAAAGCTGGGGAAGAAGCCCGTCTGGTGTAAGACGCAGTGTGGCCATAGTTTCTGTTTCCACTGCATTGATTCGTGGCATGAGGAACTCTATGAAAGAGACTCCATGGCCAACTGCCCTTACTGCAGACAACCGTGGCCGCATTCTCTATCCTCTTACCGCACGTAGCGGTTAGCTGTGTAGAGTGATGTCGGTAAGCAACCTGCTTACTAAAAGAGGCACATTGGTCAATCTAAATACGCTTCTCCTCATCCCCTGTAGGCTGGCGCTTTCTTATATCCTTCCACCCCATTCCCCATGCCGCACAAAAACAGCCAACACCTATAGCAGCAGACAAATAAAAAACATGATTTATCCCCTGAGTATATGCCAGTAACACTCCTGCCAGTTTATCCTTCGAAATTATGCCCCGGATCGCTCCAGCCCCAGCAGCAATCACTGCTCCGGAATCCACGGACGAAGCGTATACCGCCAGGCCGGACTTCAAGCTGTTGATGAAGGTGACTTGGCCTAGGGTGAGGAAAACTGCCTGGCCCAGAGTTTGGCTAAAAAGGAGGAGAGAAAGAGCGATGGAGGTTTCAGCTTTGGGGAGGATGTTTTGGACCGCAAGGAGGGGCTACACCGATATGTTAGTATAAATATGCATAAATGTGCCAAAAATTGGTGAACTCACCGCTTGGGTACCTAGACCCCGTCCAGCTCCGATCAGGATCTGGTATCCAATCCATGTCCTTGTTGGTGTCGACAATGAGAGAAGAGATAGCAATCCGTTTCCAAGTGATAATAACCCCCCGCTACCGATACTGAATGGAAGATAGTAGCCCACCTTCCTCACTGTACGGCTTTTAGAACCGATGCTCTTTGCGGAGGTAAGAGAAATTTCTTACCTAAAAACCCCGAGGAAATGACAAGAATCAGCTGACTGATGATGCTTGGGAGTGTAGAAACACCACTCATCATCGCGGACACTCCTTTCACCACTTGAAAGTAAAGAGGAAGATAATATGTTGCGCAGGCATTCATCCCGCCGAGGAAGAACATAAAGAGACAGGAGCAAGAAACTATTCGCTGAGAGACCATGTAGAGAGGGAACATGGCCTCTCTACCGGTGCGGTACTCCCACCCCAGAAACAGAATGAACATGGCGCCTGAGCCGCAAAACAGACCAATGACTGTCGCGCTATTCCAAGGATATCGGTTTCCGCCGTAATCGAGTGCCAGAAGGAGCTGAATGATGGCCGGTGCGAAAATGGAAAATCCGATCAGATCTAATTTCTCTCGGATGATGTGAAGGGTTGGCAGAGGGTCTTTCGTAGCTTTCGGTTCTGGGATAGTGACGAAAAGCAAGACAAGAATAATGACGCCGCCGATTGGAAGGTTGATGTAGAAGCCTACAACATGGATAATCGGTAAGAGATACCAGGCAAAGAGACGCGCGCAGAGAGAGTACTTACACCATCGCCATGATACATACTCCGTTAGCGCCCCTCCAATCAATGGCCCGAGGACAAGGCCGAGCTGAGCAACTAGAAAATCACGGGTCAGAGGAAATACCCCCAGCTGTATCAAATTGGCCTACTTACTTGCCAGCAAGATGGCCGTCATGGCTATTAAAAAGCAGGATTAGTAATATTACAAAAATGAGTCAAGGTGATATGATGCATACGTGCTTGTTGCTCCGGGGAAAAAGATCTCGTAATAATTGTCAAGGCACCGTTTTGGATACCTGAAGCTCCGATGCCTGCCAATGCCCGTGCAACAATGAGCATTTTCGAGCTAATGGCCAAAGCACAAACCAAAGAGCTGACCATGAAAATGCCCAGCAGCGCAATGAAGGTTTTCTGGTGGCTGTTAGCTATCTTCGCCAGCAAGAGAATGAGATGGGTGCGAGCGTACCTTGGTGCTGAAGTATGTGTACAGTTTCCCTGTGAGTGGCTGGAAAGATGCACTGGATGGAACATTAGTGAGTCTTCTTCTTGTTCTCTTTTTTTTAAGACTTGAGTTTTGGATTTCTTTAATCCATTCTTATATCTTCTGCTTAACGTCTGAAAGAGATGGCAATAGCTAACATACCTAGTGAGCTGATATGCACTACCATACCATCCCACATCAGAAAGAGAATGGAATTGGCTTGTGACTCGGGGAATTGCCTACTATGACATGCCATCAGTCAAGAGGAACGTATACCTAACCAGCAGCAGTCCCTCGTATCTCAAAGCTCAATCTTACCGGGGCAACGATAGAAGTATCAACAAGCACAAGAAGGGCGGCAGACGTCAGAGCCGACAGCAGCAACACAAGCCTGAAGCCAGTGATATAATCTTGTCGCTCTGTTGCTGGCTCTTGCTCTTTAGCCTTCTCCATTCCTCCATCTTCGCCCCTTGATGCTACACGCATCGTCTCTTTTCCGCTGCAAGTTGAGAACTGGGAAGTATCGTCATATGCCTGCTTTTCCATTTCCTTTGGTGGGCGTGGTGATATAGTTGAAAATATTTCAAGATATTTGATGGGAAACAAGGGGGGCAGTCTGCCTACGCACACGTGACCCTCCCATTTATTCATTCCACAGATGAAGAGAATCAGGGGAGGCAGTCTGCACACATACACGTGACCCCCCTATTGATTCATTCTTGCACTTCGCGGCTAGATGATAGGGGTAAGGAGCGGAAAACAGAGAACAAAAAAAGAAAGCGTAGAGATTTGCATGGTTCCATTTAGGTATACAAACTGATGCACGACTGTAGCTCCAAGGGAATAATCGCCAATTCGCGTGGACCACTACCGGTACACCATCAGCATTCCAACAATAAGCAATTCTACTTTTTAAATTTGAAGGGTTTATAGAATAGTTCGTTGCATCTAATTTACCTGTCTTGGATCTATAAGATTATTGGATTGATTGGTGGAGGGGGAGAACTCAAGAGCATTTACCAGACCCACTGATAATCCATCTTTTGTGACGGTACCATATTGTGACTAGTGCGATCTGAGCTGTGAAACTAGCCTTACAAATGGAGATGCGTCTCCACTGAAATGACAGGAAGGTTTAATAGTCTGGATAGTTTTTCCGACGTGTCTATCTCAGCCGCTTCCGCTACACCAGATCGGAGACCGGTATTCCGAACAGAGATGAAAGGAAGGGAGAAAAGATTATCTGTACGGAGACACGCAATGCTGAGAGAGTAATTCCTTGATTGAGGTTTCCATGAGGGCTGGAAGTCAGCAGTGTAGAAAACTAGACCTAGAAAGGCAACCTCACTTGCATGCCCTGTGCCCGCAGTGCAGTTGGCGGCTCAGTACAACCTAAAGAAGCTTTGAATTTCATTTCCTCTCAACACCAATAAGCCCGAATCCCATGAGAGAAAGGCATCTAACTCCAACCTGCTTTGAATATTATACTGTGAGGGAAAGCTCATCTTCAGCAACTATGATCAAGTTGAATCCCCCGCCAAACACCATAATTACTTCAAAGTCCCAATAGTTTGGTTACAGCCGTGCCAAAATGCCCTCGCCGTCCCATGGAATAATCTTCACCAATATAGTTGCCAGATCCTCCACCTTGTCGGGACTGACTGATATCTTCCACCTCCACAGTCGAGCTATGTCCCCCCTCCTGATGGTATGCGAGACTTCGAGTCCAGTTTTCCGGTAGTAATTCAAGACGGTGGGATGCGTGGTAGCACTCGAGCCCAGCATGCGCGTCCGGAAATGGTGTGGTCGATGCCCCGACGAGGGGCGCTGAAGCTGCTGTGCTTGGTGTCGCTTTTGGAACGTCTGTCTGTCCTCGCTGACAGCTGCTCGCTCCGCCGTGGCAAAGGCCTCGAGGATCATGCCCCGCTGCCGGTGGTGAGGAGAAACAAACGAGGTTCCTAGGAACCAAGACGATTCATTGCAGTCGTTTTCGTTGTCGTGGTAGGGTTCGTGGTGGCAGCGCGGGCCGTAGAGACTGGAAATCAATGCCCACTCATTCTCCCATACCGGAGTCTGGAGGGCACCATCGTCGGCTCGGGGAACAGCGATGATGACTCGAAAAGCAGGCTCGGAGAGAATTGACTTCCATTCGGCGTCGGACATGCTTGCTTCTTTTTCGTAGGATGACCCGAAGCTGTCAGGGGCTGTTTTCAGGGCGTTCAAGCGGAATTCGATGTATTTGGGACTCCATTGTTGGACACTCGCCTCGTCGTGGGGCAGGATTTCGAAGTGGTATTGCGATAGAGGGGGCATGATGCGGCGCGAATGATTAGAGTCGTTGTTGTGCCTGGATCAATGATGAATCTTCCGGACAGAGCACGGGATTTTATTTTCGTCTAGCAAGTAACTTATCTATGTCCTGCATTTTACTGATCGAGCCAAAATGCTGCAGCATCTACGGAGTAGTTAAGCTCAGTTGAACCTCGTATTCAGTACTAGTACTATGTAGATCAATCTGTCAAAGTGAGCTAGCTGAATTGTCAAAGACTGTAGTAGGTGTTGTACCTTAGTATGCATCTGGACAAATGAGATCTACCGGAACCATCATAGATCGGGTAAAGATTGCCAGGTCGATCCAGCCGAGTATGCTGGTAACAAGACCGATGTCGAGGTGTTACCCGCAGTTTACATACAAAAGAAAAAAAAAAAAAAACACAGTGAATCTGGGATGGAGGTAGACTAATCCCATGTCACGGTACAAAATCTATCCTTGTTACTAGTACGCCACTGTACGAAACATATCTGGCTGATCTTCGCGAAGATCTGCATGGATCTACAACATCAGGACTTACCTAGGTGATCTACTTCGCCGGGTCGCCCACAAGACCCACATCGGTCAATTGGGGATAGGAAGGCTTACTATTCGTGAGAACAGGTGGCTGAAGGCACGACACATCAAGAGAATAAGGCAGCGATTGAAGCCGCAAGGGTCAGTGAGGAGGCTACGGAGCTCTTTTATCTCGATCTGCATCTAATGTGTTGATCAACGTGTCAATCGCACCAAACATTGTCACCGTCAGGTGGGGGTTGCTATTATGAGTACGAGGCACAAATACTCCGTACAGCAAGGGATATTCTCCTAGTGGATTTTCGAGTTTCATCTGGACAGGTGGGAAATGATCTGTCAACATACCTCGAACTGACTGTTCGTGTTATAGCTCCCATTTTTGTTACATTTCCATTGCAATTTGCTTACAGCATCTCACCGCTGATTTCTATGGTCGTTTCCATGCAGCCACTATGCTTTCTTTGCATTTGTATAGCTTTGAATATAAGAGCTCCTCACCACATGTTCGCCTCGATTCAATTCTAAGCGAGCTTGGCTCCAGAATGATCAATCAATCTTTGTCTAGACTCAAGACTGCATTAATTGTGTGATTCTGAAATACTATACACAACCTACCCCTCCGCCCAGGAACTATTGAACTTTTGACCACCGACAATGCTGGTCATTGGCACGTGAGCCCTTAAGTCCGGTCAGTGAGTGGGCAGATCAGATAGAAGCCCAGATATAAACGATTGTTCGCACCGTCCATTGATTCTCCTAATAATCCATCTTGCATGCTCATCAAGAATGGCTAACCACCCCCCTTCGTTGGCCGAAGCCTGCCATGAAAACCAGAAGGCACCAACCGCCCATTTGATTACACTTCTCGACCAAGTCGCCGACCGATTCCCCGATCATGATGCCATCATATCCCTCCATCAGAGCCGCCTGCGCTGGACCTTTGCTCAGCTGCAGGAGAAGAGCATTCAACTCGCCGCCCGGTTATCGTCCCGAGGTGTTGGTCGTGGAAGTCGGATCGTGACCCTGATGTACAACCAAGCCCAGTGGGCACTGCTTTTCTGGGCATCGGCCCGCCTGGGCTGTCAATTTGTGCCACTAGATCCCCGGGTGCTCGATCGCGACGCACGGGATGTCTTGTTTCTCCTCGAGCAGCTGCAACCCGAAGCAATGTTTGTATCAAACGAGGCCATGGCGAATCGGATCAACCATATCACAATCGATCATGACCATCGCCCGCTTGTTCAGTGCGTGGTCGCCGACAATGAAGAGACTGGTGTACCGGCCGGGTGGACGACGGTGTCTAAGATCATGTCGGAGCCCTTACACGACGAGCCTTCGTTGCATCGGCCCGGGAATCCCGATGATACCATACTCATCCTGTTCACGAGTGGCACCACTGCTCTTCCCAAAGGCTGTCCACACACGACCATCTCCATCAGCGCTCAGGGGCTGGGGTTTATGTACGGGTTGGGCCTAGGGCCTGGCGCGAATCTTTGCCAGCATTTGCCCAATTTCCATATCTTCAATATCGCGTTCACTCTGGCGTTTTGGCTGGCCGGCGCGACTGTCATCTTCCCAAGCCTTTCTTTCGACCCGCAGAGCACCTTGCAGCTGCTCGGATCCTATCAACGGGTCACCGTTCCCTGTGTCCCGGCCATGATACATGCTTTACTGAGCTGTGCGCCCCCTCAACAGAGCTCCCCCCCTTCGTTCGAAGTTCTGCTGGGTGGTGCTCCGGTGACGTTGGACGTAGTGAAGCGCTGTAGAGACCTGGGGGCGACACGGGTGATGATAGGATATGGCATGACGGAGGGTATACCTTTTATCAACACCTCTCTCGAGGAGACGTCCGTGGACCTGACGACAAGGGATGTGTCTGTTGGGAAGGTATTCTACGGCGGGCGAGCCCGAATCTGTGCCGAGGGAAGCCGCATCCCCATTCACAAGGAGGAGATCGGTGAGGTGCACCTCGGCGGTCTTCCAGTGTTCGGAGGCTATCTTGGGGGGAGGAGCAATGACTCATGCTACTGTGAGAATGGGGTGAACTGGATAGCCACCGGAGATCAGGGGTACATGGACCGTGAGGGTTATGTTTATATACTCGGCCGGTATAAAGATCTGATTATCTGCGGTGGCGAGAACATATCCCCTTTGAAAATAGAACAGTGTTTGAGCGAGGTAGATGGGATACGGGTGAGTCAGCCAGACGTAGTTTGTTCTTATCGAACGCGGTCTGGACGCAAACAGGTACTGACTGTCTGATGCCTAGGATGTGTATGTTGTCGGAGCGCCAGATGCTGTGGTTGGTGAAGTGCCTGTTGCTGTGATGCGAAAAGACCCGTCAGGCCAGCTCCCAGTGAAAACAGCTCTTCAAACAATGGTCTCGAATAAACTTGGTCAATCCTTTGCGCCAGCACGCATTCTTGATCTCCAGGATGACCTCGGAAAGGACCACTATCCAACGACGACATCCGGCAAAATCCAGAAAATAGTGCTTCGAGAATGGGTGACTGAGCATCTCAATCAGATCACCGTCGACAATCCAGTCTCTTTCGGCAACGACCTGACAGCCGAATTAACGACATTATGCTCTGGCTTAACCGGTCTGGCACCTGGAGATATCGATCGAGACGCTTCTATACGGAGCTTCGCCGACAGCATGATGCAAATCCAGTTTTGCCACCTGATAGGCCAAAAGCTGCAACTGGTCGTCACGCAGATGGATTTGATCAAGTTCAACACGATAAGAAAGCTGGCGAAGCTACTCCACGAAAGAAAGCACGCCAAGGACTCTCGTTTTCGTGATACAGACTGTGCTTCTCCAGCGCAGCTCGACATGGAGCGGGCGAAACAAGTGGCCTTGTCCAAGTTGAGCGGCCTCGGATTTAGATGGGACGACGTGGAAGAGGTCGTCCCGATTGCAGACTGTGTGAAACGGACACACTACGGACACAGGCCGAACTCGTGGAACACCCGGATGTCGTGGATCGCGAGCCCATCGATCAGCGTCACAGATATCAAGGCAGCCTTGCACACCTGGCTTCAACGTCATCCACTGCTGCGGTCCACGCCGCTTACATACGATGAGAAACTAGATCTATATTTGGTCATGCGTCCCAGTGAGGATTGGATGAAACTCCAAGTTGTGGACGGCGGAATGGTTGGAGACATCAACAGCGTCGAAACATATAAGCTGAATGATGCGGACTATGACCATATCGACGGGAAGGGGCCATTGTTTAGGGCTACTATTCTCAGTGTGGAGAAGCCATCAGTTGTTGGGTTGGTCATGCACCTGCACCATCTTGTGTTCGATGCCCACATCCTGTTCCGATGGTTTGAAGACCTCAAGAATCTCCTGAAATGCAAGGACCAGCTTTTTAATTTCCATCCATACCGTGACTACATCGCAGATTACCAAGGGAACCGAACCGGGCCAGCAGCCCGGAGAGCGATCGACTTTCATGTGAGCAAAATTCGAGGAGTATCGTCTGCTACCGATGCGTTCTGGCCACGGCAGATTGCACCATGCTGGCTCAAAGGTGACAACCAGGGCTGGGTCCACAGTGACCACACCCCCGGCCACCCCAGCGAGCGACCCCTTCTGGATGGCGACAAAAGCATCGGAACCAGAGGGATCACCCGCGCCGTGCATGTGCCCAAGATCTCGGAATTACAACGCAAGTTCGCGATAACACCCCCGACCATCGCGAGATGCGCCTGCGCGTTGATCAACGTGCGCATGACCGGGGCCAAAGAGGCAATCTTCGGCCTCGTGGAATCGGGCAGAACCTGGCCCTCTGCGGATGACAGTCACCCCGCGAATAGAGGCGTCGATATTCTGGAAGTCGACGGGCCTACAATCGTCCAATGCCTCAGCCGCACAACTATCACACCAGACGAAACGGCGATCCAGCTTCTGACCAGGATGAGCAAGGACCAAGACGATATCGTCTCGAATACATATGCTCCCATGAACGAGATATGCCGGAAGCTGGATGAAACAGACTCAAAATCCTTCCTCGACATCCTCTTCCGCCAAAGCCTCAACTGGAGGATGGGGGGGTATAAAGAACACGCGTCCGATCCCATCAAGTTGGTCGAAAACATTTCTCGATCTGACTTTGGCCTCTTCTGGCTCCCGGGTATGATGGAGGGTGATCGGCTGCGGCTGACTGTGAAGTACGACGATGCGCAGCTCAGGGCAACAGATGTGTACAATATTATGACGGAGTTCCTGTGCGCCGTGGCTTGGCTGGGCGATCCCGGTAATGTGGACAAGCCTGTGTCGCAGTGCGAGTTCCAAGGTCGTGATATTGTCGACCTGGATCACGAAGGTCCGGCTCGCTATCGGAGGTGATCATATCTGATTTGCCCTAGTCAAGTGGAAATGTGAGACAATAACTATCAACTTATCCTCGTATACGGTATGCGGACTTGGTATCATGCCCATGTGATCGTTCTCGTAGAATCCCAGGAATTGTCAGAACAATCGAGTGACCTATAAATCCTCGACGCAAAAGAGATTTGTGGGTTCAAGTTGTGCTCAAGCCACTCCCCCCCTCCCCCTTCGCAAGCCCGTATCGAAGCAGGTAGGACTTTCGCTTCACTCTGAACCATCACCGTGATTCAATTCTCAAGTGGCTCCGCACGTAAGGTACACGGTTATCACACTTGCCCGGTCACAGGTTTATCCTGCCTCAGCCTTCAGGGCATGACATCCTGAATTATGCTTTTCGAGGTGTCCTATTGACTCTCGAGGAAACCCAGACCGGGGGTACAAGTGGTTGAAAAACGCTACTGACACTGGCATTGATTCCAGTACCGCCGGTACTCAACCTATATAGACAAAGTAGTAGGTATAGATCCATGCCTAATACTAATACTGATCTCGATCATCTTTTCTGCCCCTTTCTACAAACCTGATGCCGGTGGCAATAGCAACGCTCGTTGTTGTTGCCGGCCTCAACAGTGCAGGTCATTGTGAGGACCATGATGGCTGACTACATGTCGCTTGAGAGACTTGAGAGGAGCAAGAGGTCTACCCTAGCAGGGTTGCTATTAGATGATAAGCAGGGTAAACTGGACACCCTTGCATGGTGCAAATTATAGAAAGTAGTGATAGAACGAATTTTCAACTTTTATATGCCTCATGAATACCCAGATCAACTGTTCGTTAGATAAGCAAAAGTCATGCAAGACCCCCGATCTATAGCTCCAAACCCCGGACGGCCATGGCCAGAGCACCCTCCTTGGTCTTGTGGCCACCGATGAAACCACTGGCGTGGACGAAGACCGCGCCCTCGGGGATGCGCGGCTGGCCAGACTTATCCGCCTCGGCGGCCATGACGGCATCGAGGTCGGAGTCGCGGACCCCGCGCCACGACTCGGGCAAGGGCTTGCGCGAGACGAAGCTGCCTTCGCTCTCGGAGACGCACTGCACGCGCCACTTGGAACCCTCGGTGGCGCCCTCCGGGTACAGGACGTAGTAGGTCTGCTCGCTGCCGGAGGCGCCCTCCTGCTGCTCGAAGGTGTACAGGTGCTCCTTCCAGGGCACGCCGCCCTGGGGCAGGACGATGATGCGGCCGGAGGGGTGGACGTCGCGGCGGGAGCGGTACGCGGCACCGACGGTGGTGCGGGCCGGGAGCCAGGAGGCGGCGGCGTGGTGCAGCTTGCGGGTGAAGACGTTGCCGATGAAGGTGCTGGCGCGGCCGAACAGGCTGTCTTCGTCCTGGGGCTCGCCAGGCGGGCTCGTGGGGTCCGGGTGGTTCATGTCGCCGACGACCGAGGCCAGCGTCACGCCGCCGTCCCGGAAGCGCTTCTGCAGGCCCGCGGCCGAGATGCCCGCCGGGTCGTAGACGGAGACCCCGTTGTCGTTCGCGTCGATCGCCTCGATGAAGTCGTTGTACAGCTTCTCGTACAGCAGAGTCACGTCCTCGTGGTCCTCCGGGAGGGAGGTGTGTTGCGCGATGATGGCCCGGCCGAAGTGCATGTAGACCAGACCGGCGGATGAGAGCTTGGTCTCGTGCGCCGGAAAGGTGGTCGCGAAGGTGCGCTGGTGATGATCATAGCGGTTGTTGGAGGGGTCGTACTCGCCGCCCACATCGACGACGGTGTGGCATGTGGCCAGTTGGGCGGGATCGCGAGTTCGTACGAGAGGGGAAGCGCTGTAGGTAGGAAGGAGACGGAGAAGGTAGACAGCAAGAGCTTCGTCGGCGTGGAAGTGGCCGCTGGAGAGAAGCAGGAATTAACTTAACCGGGCCATTGCAGAAGGTGGGATGTGGGATTGAGGTGAGAACCGAGTACTTACTTGTGGGTTCCAATCAAGGGGGAAGAAGTCTTGATCTTCTTCGTGATGGTTTCTTCGGCCATTTTGAATAATGAACGGAATCGAAGCATACACCAGAAGGAAGAAATAACGTGGTAAGAATGAAGAAGTTCCTGTCTATGATTGTCGATAGAGCCTGAGCTTCTGGAAGCCTGCCTGAGGTCTCCGTATCGAGCTAGTTAGTATCAGCGAATCCCTATTGGCCGGAAGGAGCAGGGCGCTGATTTCTCTAAAGGGGAAAGCGTCAAAGTGGCAGCTCCATCACGCTAACCAGATTGGACGAGTGCTTAGGGCTACCTAGTAAGCACCTAAGAGCCTAGCATGTGATTGCAGCCTGAGGCTTGCATGTTCTGTAATATGGTTTGTCGACGGTGTCTTTATCTGACAGGCATAATTACGTCGATTCCACATCCTTTCCCCCCTCTCCAGGCTCCATTGGAACCTTAATGTCGGGACTGTTGACGTCCAGTTGCATTTTGGCGCAATCACAGGATCCCCTAGCGAACGCTCGATCACCTTCTACATGGGTACTGTGGTGATAATCTTCTGGAGATGAGATCATATACAGCCGATCTTTCCACCAACTGACCGCTACTTGCATCCGCTTGGACGCCACCGCCTGCCAGTTGAAGCTGGGTCGGATACGCTAAACCGCCAAATTGAGAGCAATTCTTACGTTTGCTCGTTGCGGTTGCTGTTGCTGGGCTGCCTGTCACTCCCCCCCCCCCCCCCCTTTTTTTTTTCCCTTTTCCTCATCCTGTATCCTTCTCCTCGTCTTTATCTCATCCTGCCCGATTCATTGCATTGCAGCCGTTAAGCTTTGGTGCTTCAGTACGTAAGTGGATTGTTTGACCAGGAGTTTCATTCGTCCATCAGCACGTGCCACGTGAATTCGATCCATCCATCATTCCGTCCCGCTTGGGAGATAAGATCGTTTTTCAAAAGACTCCTGCACTGAAAACGAAACGAGAAAAAAAAAATTGAAAATTCAATCTAAAAGACAGTGACGAGATTCATCCCACTCGTTCCCCCAGCAAGATTCAAGAGGAGTCGGACGGACAGACCAGCAAGGCAAAGGACGGCACGCAATCAACCAGCCTTCATGTATTCTTACTAAAGACTCCCCTCCCTCCTCCCCGTCCGTGTTGTCTACCAAATCTCCTACCTTGAGACCATCTGTCGAAAAGAGCGCGTCTACACCCCTCTCTCCCCTCTTCTTTACCCTCTTTCTGCCTTTTCTTCTTCTCGTTTCCCCTTCTTGTCGTCTTGTCCGATGTGGCTCTTCCGCGCCATCTCGTCGGGACTCTTCCTGACCGTCACGGTCGCATCCATCCCTCTCGCGTTCGATGTGGGTGGAAAGACATGCGGTCTGGCCTATTCGCTTTCCCTCGCGACCTTTTACTTTCTGTTCTCACTCCTGCGACTTTCCACCCCCGATCGGTCCTGGATCCGCTCCTCCCTGGTCGTCATCATCAGCTCTACGCAGTGGCTTATAATCCCGATCCTGCTTATCTGGTCGCTCAACCGCTTCTCTATCGATAATGACAACGCGGCTTCATGGGTGGAACGGACCTTCACCGGCAAGAGGGCCCACGACTCCTCCATTCAGGAGTGGGTGTTTGGTCCGGATGGTTTGGCGGAATCGGTGACGATTGGCAACTGGGATAAACTCTTGAGATGGTCGACACCGGTATTCCAGCTGGTGGAAGGGTTCTGCAGTTTACTCGTCATACAAGCTGCAGGGCAAATCACTCGGTGGCTCGTGAACCGCGGCGGGCGCAGTGATAGTTGGATGGTACGTACACGTCACTCTGAAGTGCTTGATGCATGCAACGATAAAATGCTAATCATAATCCGCCAGATTGGTCTCTTGGTTTTATCCGCCTCAATCATATCCAGCTCCGTGTATTTCCTCTGGCGTGTTATGCAGTTCCCGGAAATTTCCAATGTGGATGCGGCTCTAATTGGTGTCTCCATAACATGCGCGGTGATCTTGTGCGCCTGGGGTATTGGTAGCGGCCGGGGAAATCCAGTGGAGAGTTCCTTGCTATTTGCCTACATTGTGCTCTGCCTCTACCAGATCTTCACAGACTACAAACCCTCTCACCCTCTGGAACAAGCGCCCTCTCCTGCTCAAGCCGGGGATTTCCCGCCGCTACCACCGATCATCATGGAGTCGTACACCACTCTGATGCATGCATTGTCCACCCTGCCTTCAATCATCCACGCCTTGTTCAATGTTATCACCGCAGTCTTTGGCGCCGTGACTCCCTCCGTGTTAGTCTCGCTTACCTACCGGATCCTGGTGCTGTACGCGTCCACTCGAATCATTCCCGCAGTTCGCGAATCTGGCGCTCGCGCCTTGTCGCAAGAAGCCTCGTTGGACGACTCCGATGCCGCCGGCCAATTCCTCGGTTTCCTCAGCTACTTCTCCCCCTCGATTCTCATCGCCGTGTACACCAGCCTTCTGATGCAGCACTTCGCTCTGACATCTCAAGCAATGGGTGGCAGTGGTGAATGGTGGAGCAGCCAAGGCGGTGGCGGCGGCAACCTCTGGCGCTGGATCAACCTTGCCTGCACGATGGGCTTGTACGCTGTTGAGCTCTACCTCGGCGAGAACGATGATCTAGATACCGGCTTGGCTGGTCACTGGAAAACCGACTGAACGGTACACGGCGAATCGCAATTTCATGTCAAATTTATCAACCATGCGGAGACTCGTGGTAGACACTCGCAGCGTCCTTGATTCGTCCCAAAGCTAGGCTACCACCGATGTTCATTTATGCATATCCTCCAGCTAGGGTTTCTTCAGCATGCTGGCTGCCCTAGGCTAGCAACGCCATCGAACGCTCCTCGCTTGTTAGCCGCTTGTTAGCCGGGTTGGAGGAATACCAAGGATCATCTCGCAGAAGCAGCTACGAAGCGTGCCCGCGACTTCACATGCCTATCAGTCGTCCTTGCACCTTGCGTTTCCTCTCACCCTGCAAGGCATTACATTATTCCTTGGCCACCCCACGAATGGTGCTCGTCATGGAGGGACGGACACTGTCCCCGTGGACTTCGTAATCAACAACACAGTTCCAGCATGATTTAGGATCCATCACCAGGTCTCCATACCAGGGGGCGGTCCAGTTCAAGTACACCGCGCGGTTCGGACGATGCCAACCACCCCACTTAACAGATTCCCTGGGCCGTACCCGCTCCGGACCGCCTCCTCTGTTTCTTCCCTCCGATACGCCTCACTCTATCCTTATCTTTGGCCCATCCACATCTCTTATGATCCCATCTCCGATTATTGCTATTATACCCATTCTTCCCAGTCTAGCGCCTTTCTGCTACACTACTTCCTGTGATTTTTTCTTCAATTCTTTTTTTTTGTGTTTGCTCATCAATGCTCTCCGACTTACCCTTCCCTGCCATTCTTAGCTTTTGATTCTTGAAAACTGTTTGCACTAGATGGAGAATCTTATACCCCCAACTTGCTGTTCACGGTGACAGGTTTTTTTTTTTTTTTTTCTTTTCTTTTCCTTTGACCTTTTTTTTTCTCTTCGCCTCTGTAGCGACATCTTGTTCATTCCCATATCTTGTTCCTTTCCTGCTCCTGCTGAGCTCGAGTACCATATTTAGCGGTCTTTCAAGCTCCGTCGCAAATCAGACTTGAAATCTATGAGAAAGGTGACTCTTTCCTCTCTTTCCTTTCTGCAGTACAAGTAGCATATACGAAATACCTCCCAAAACCGCACTTCCGAGATTTGGGAGTGGTTACCTAGTGAAGAGTACGGGTAGTACACAGCCAACGAGTACAATTTAGGATGGCGAGACGCCAGAAACTGGAAAGCGGCTAGAACGACAAACAAACCGAAGGTGAGGAAAGAGGTAGGTAGTCAATGGCCCAAATCCGTACTATTCACAAAGGCGAGTTCAATTTAGTCGTTACCACGCCGGATCTAAACACACCTTCAGGGAGGAGAGTAGATGCATCAAAGCACGGCAAACATACACGCATCAGATACGACGTGTTCCTGGTTCTTGAGCGCAAGCTAAAGGCATAGAAGATTTCGTGCTTATGAGGTAGAACGGAGACACGAGACAGACTCTTCGTATCCGGGATGATCTTCCAATATAGACAACGAACTGACAGAGAGAACAGGAAGACTGATTGCGTCATTTCGTGATGATTGAGACACTCCACTTAGCGCGAGCATGCAGGGTACTCATACTGTGGACGCACAGAGCTGCTGAAGCAGGCTATGATCGACAGACGGAGAGGATCCCACCCAAAACTGGTCAGCTCGTCTTTGCCACAGATTGGTGGGCGAGTGCTATAGCATGCAGTCACTTCAGCCTGGTGGCTCAACCTTCCACTTTCTTTTCACTTTGTGTCAGGCAAAATCCATCCGAAAGGCAAAAGATAAGAGAAAGGGAAAAAAAATGATCAATGATAAGGTCGTAAATACATCGGAATGTCAAGAAACAACGTGACGTGGGAATCCATGCGCCAGAACACTCTTTTAAATACCACCGACCACCGGGACGGAATTAACAAAAGATATACGAAGGAAGAGATGTAACCAAATAAAGGATGACATGAAAGTAATGAGATCATGACAAGGGACGGGGGGGGAATCATTTATTGACGGATGGGAACACCTCCTCGAGCCGGAGGTGGGCTCACGTTGCCGGCATCGGTGGGATCCTGGGATGCGACTGCATCGAGGTTGTTTCCATCGGCCTCATCGACGCTGGTTCCTCGTTGCAGGAAGCTGGCCTCTTTGACGGGGCTGCGGCTCTGGAATCCGATGGAGCCGGGATGGCCGCTAATACTACCGGGGACCTGCTGGCCGCCCTGGGCGCTGATGCTGCCCCCATTGCCGGCAGCGGTAGGGTTGTTGGCGCCGGGGGAGGTGGCAGTCAGGTGAGGGATGTTCTCGGGAACGGGGTGTTGGGAGCCGATGTTGGTGACGCCGACATCTGAGGCTTTGCCGGCTTTGCTGAGAGCGTAATCGCCTGAGTCGAAGTATTTCCGCTCCTGTAGGGCATGAGAGTTAGCCATGGGGAGTGGTTGAGTCGGGTGTGTTGGGACGAGCATACCTTCAGCTTGTTCTGCAGGAGATCCTTCTTGTTAGGCATCTTGCCGTAGAGACGAAGCAGGCGTTGCTCATCGGGGCTCAGCGACTTGAGAAGAGATGATTGTTAGTTGCAGCCTGACGGGGAATAAACTGCGATAACCCAAGATAGATCTGGGCGGAGAGCGTACGCTGGTATCGATCTTATTCTGCTGATGGGGATTCATTATGAACGATGGTGGTTTTGATTTGGTTGGTTGTAGAAAGGATAAAACGGGAAATGGAAGAAGAAAAGTAGGTTGAGAGAAAGGAGAAGAAGCAAAGGAAGAAGGTGCAGACGAAGGAGGGGGGGAAGGAGTTAATATGGATTGAGTTGAGGTAAGTTGAGGTGAGTTGAGGTGGACAACGGAGATGGAGGGAGTGAGTGATGGAGTGATTGAGTGGTGCGGGTATTTAGTATTGGGAGGGAGTGTCGTCAGGAAACCCCACCACCTCCAGCGGGGAGCAAACTGTAAGTAGTATGTAGGTAGGCAGGCAGGTAAAGGTATAGATCACAGCTTCCTCTGCACAGGCTGCAGGAGATGAGATGTAAGAAAGTTAGACCGGAAAAGGAAACAGATGAAGAGAATCTTGATAGAAAAGGAATGAGAGTAAATAGGAACAGGAGAGTGTTTGAGGGATAAGCGTTTGAAGATGAGGGGAAGGAGAAGAAGGAAATGTAGAGGGAGAGAGAGAGAGAGAGAGAGAAAGTATCCATGATGGACTATGGAATAAGTCTATTGGTATCAGTCGGTATGGACGGGTAATGGTATGGTCATCGGCTGGCGGAGAGCGTACGACATCGGGCGGTGACCGCCCTGTAATCAGCCCCCGTGTTCCACCACTTCCTACCCACTAATCCTCTCAGAGACAAGGATCCAACGATCTGAGCAGGAAGGAGTCTGCATTCAGCCTAGCGCCATGGAGCTGCAGATGGTCTCCACCTCGAATGGTGACCGAACAATACAGTATCCGTTTCACACGATCTGACCAACGCCTCATTATCGGGGAAGATCAGGCACTCGTCGTTCGATAATGTGCTGCATACTGAGGACCAGGGGGTGAAATAGGTATGGGATGCTCAAAATAAGATACAATCTGTCCCAAATACTAAGCAAGTGATAAAGCGTGCCCTTCATGAATTGACACCAAGGATATGCTAGCCTAGACGGTGCTTTCAAATGCAGGGACAGTATAGTCGACTCATCTTGCTGCCCCGTTAGGCACAAAGGGCGTAAAAAGAGAATAGTAAATTTGAACCTAACGAACTAGTAGATTGAATAGTCCTCCAATGTTCATTTGATAAATTGTTCATTGCAGTGCAGTGTCACCGGGTTGCTCAATTTCAACCAACGGTTGAATTGAGGAGGAAACCTCAGCCAGTCAGTGTATGCAATCAGCCGTATCGACCTGTATCCAACTCTATGATGAATTCTGCTTTTTTTTCCCTCCTGCCCCTCCACAATCTGATATTGCTCACAATCCAGCCTTTGCGCACCGTTTACCACCCTTAAATCAATTGTTAATAGCTGCAAGCTTTCCATCTCTCAGTTCTAGGCTAATTTTGGGTCTTAAGAACTGGTGAATCCGAGCCTGCACGGTGTCACAAGAGGTTCCTGAAACCCCACACTTACTATAACCGACATCACGCTCATTGTCCGCGGGCCAGACCGACTTGGACGCTTCCATTTGGACCAACATGAGTGATCAAACCTCCTCCTCGGGTCCTGTGACCATCGTGGTCGAGCATCTGGACCCCGAATTGGGCGCTTGGTCCGCTCTGGAGTATGGCTGCATTGCCCGTGAAGCGCATGCCTCGGGGAGCAGATTTCTGCTCAGCTCCGTGCCCACCTCCCTGCAGATGCCGGAGGATCTGGCGGCCACCCCAGGCCTCAACGTCGAGCACCGCAGTGTGGAGGAGATTTTTGCGGACCGCAAGTCTCGGGTCTGCCTGTTGGACCCTTCCGCCAAGGTTGAGTTGAGCCCCGCTGATGCAGAGACGTTCGATGTCTTCCTCTTCGGTGGTATCCTGGGTGAGGCGCCTTTTTTGCGGTCTTTCGGGTCTTCCCCGGAGATTGGCTCAATCCATTGTTCTGCTGGCTGACTCAAAGGATTCTCTTGTTCGGTCATTAGGCGATGATCCACCTCGCGGTATGTTTCTTGGATGTAGAGCAGATTCATCATGATACTGACCCGAAGCAGATCGCACCTCGGAGTTGAGAAAGAAGGGCTATGCTGGCCGTAGACTAGGACCTGTGCAAATGACCACGGATACAGCTGTGCGCGTCACTCGCCTAGTTGTGCACGATAAGAGTCAGTCCTCGACTGCGAGTCTACATGGCTAAAATGAAGACTGACATCTACGCAGTTCCATTGGAGGAGATCAAATACGTTGACCACCCCGAGATCCTTATCAACGAGCACGAACGGACCGAGATGCCCTTCCGCTATGTTGTGGACAAGGATGGACAGCCCATCATGCCTCCGGTGAGCTTGCTTCTTTCTCATCATGTCTTGACTGCGCCGCAACTAACATTCTCAGGGCATGGTGGACTTGATCAAGAAAGACGCCGACCAGGGTATTGATGGTCTCATCTGAGTCGAGTAGAAGATTGACCGAAGATTGTAGCTCTCAATGAAGGCGCAGGGACAAACAAATCCATTCGGCTTGGAATGAAAACGCTCGAGCGATGCTGGAATAGATCTGCATTAATCCTGGAGTGCACTGTACCAAATGTCATCGCGATGGATGAATCGGGCGAATGTAACTCAGATTGTCAACGGTAGTCAACATCTACGATGGACAATACAATACTCTTTATTGAGGGCTCGAATGATAACAACTACTCTGAAATTTTCTCACACAAACAAGATCATGCTATGTGGAAGAGTGTAAGGCAGCAGCTGGTCTATAGAGACCCCAAAGTGGTAAGAGTAAGTCCCGTAAGTAACGATACGGACGATACCCGCCCGTTCGGGCCACGCCATCCATTCGTCTCCGTCTCCGTCTCAGCCGCCTTGGACTTCCTCCATCTCTCCTCCATCTTCCTCCTCGTCTCGTCTATTACCTTCCACCTCTTCCCTTGGTGTTATCCGGCTCTCCTGCCTTTTACCAAATCGCTCCGGGAAGGGTGTTTGACAGCTTCCCGTTCATTCGTCTACACCCTTTCTCTGTGTGATCACATCCGTCACCATCGCCAGTCACCACCTCCTCCCTTTATCTCCGGAGCTCCGCCTCGACCGGGGAGAGATTCGGTCTCAATCAGCACGCGCCGGAACTGGACATTTTGATCAATGAGTCCTTGAGCGCTGACACGAGTCCACTCGGGACCTATCCAATCCATCCTTGCGACGACCCGTCAATACTTTCTTTGTTGGAACACCCCCTTCCACCCTGCACCTTATCACAGTCCCCGAAATGTTCCCCTTATCGTCCCGCGGGGGCATCTCCCTCACCAAGATGTCGACATGGGCACTGTCGACGCTCTTTCTACTGAGTCCCGCCATTGTCTCGGCCAAGTCGGCGGCTGACTACTATATCCATTCTCTTCCGGGTGCACCGGACGGTCCGCTGCTGAAAATGCACGCTGGGTGAGCTACTCCGCTCCAACGTTTGTCGCATTCCATCAACCAGAACTAACCCCTATCTCTCTCCGGCTCAGGCACGTTGAGGTCGACGCCCAGAGCAATGGACATCTCTTCTTCTGGCACTATCAGAATCGGCACATCGCCAATCGTCAACGCACCGTGGTGTGGCTGAATGGCGGGCCTGGGTGTTCCTCGATGGACGGAGCGCTGATGGAAATTGGCCCATATCGACTGAAGGACAACCACACCCTCGAATATAATGAGGGCTCCTGGGACGAGTTCGCCAATCTGCTTTTTGTCGATAACCCGGTCGGAACGGGCTTCAGCTACGTCAACACTGACAGCTATATTCACGAGCTCGACACGATGGCGGCGCAGTTTGTGGTGTTCTTGGAGGAGTGGTTCAAGCTCTTTCCGGAGTACGAGAGCGATGATGTATGTTCCCTAGTCTCAACTTGTTGAGGAGTCGCGTTTCTTACAGTCGATAGATCTACCTTGCGGGCGAGTCCTACGCCGGACAACATATCCCCTATATCGCGAAGGCCATGCAAGAACGGAACAAGAACGTCTCCAACTCCAACACTGCGCAGTGGCAGCTAAAGGGTCTTCTTATCGGCAACGGGTGGATCGCCCCCGAGGAACAGTACATGTCCTACTTGCCGTTCGCCTACGAAGAGGGGCTTATCGAGGAAGGCAGCTCGGCGGCCAAGGAACTTGAAGTGCTGCAGTCCGTCTGCCAGTCACGATTGGAAGCGGGCAAGAACAGAATCCACGTCAACGACTGCGAGAAGATTCTGAATGGCATTTTGGATAAGACAATTGTCAACAACCAGTGCTACAACATGTATGACATCCGTTTGCGCGACAGCTTGGACGCCTGCGGAATGAATTGGCCGACGGACTTGGTGGATGTGAAGCCCTATCTACAGCGGGAGGACGTGGTGGCAGCTCTGCACATCGACCCGGCGAAGAAGTCAGGCTGGACCGAGTGTTCCGGCGCGGTCAGCAGCAACTTCAACCCTCAGAGATCCGTGCCATCTGTCCGACTCCTGCCCGAGCTCCTGGAATCCGGTGTGGAGATTCTCCTGTTCAGCGGCGAGAAGGACTTAATCTGCAACCACGTCGGCACCGAGCAACTGATCAACAACCTGAAATGGGGCGGTGGTACGGGGTTCGAAACCTCGCCGGGTGTGTGGGCGCCCCGACACGACTGGACCTTCGAGGGCGAGCCGACGGGCATCTATCAATACGCGCGCAACCTGACCTACGTGCTGATCTACAACTCCAGCCACATGGTGCCGTACGACCTGCCCCGGCAGACGCGGGACATGCTGGACCGGTTCATGAACGTGGACATCGCCAGCATCGGCGGTAACCCGACGGATTCGCGCATTGACGGCGAGAAGCTGCCGCAGACCTCGGTGGGCGGCCACCCCAACAGCACCGCGGCCGAGGAGCAGGAGAAGCAGCGCCTCAAGGAGACGGAGTGGAAGGCGTATGCCAAGTCCGGCGAGGCCGTCCTCGTGGTAGTGATCATCGGGGTGATCGTGTGGGGGTTCTTCATCTGGCGCAGCCGCCAGCGACACCACGGCTACCGGGGCGTGATGCAGAAGAACATGAGCAGCAGCAGCTCGGTGCTGGAGCGGTTCCAGAACAAGCGCACGGGCGGCGATGTCGAGGCGGGCGACTTTGACGAATCGGAGTTGGATGACCTGCACTCGCCGGGTCTGGACCGGGAGCATTATTCGGTGGGCGAGGACAGTGACGAGGAGGAGCGGGGCGAACATGGCCAGCAATCGGCGGCGCGGGGAGGTGATCATTTATGATTCCTTGCTACTTGATTGAACCTTTTTGGTGTTTTTTTCAAAACTGATCATCATGGATTCTTTGTGGACATACTGGAGTTTATGTATTGGAGCTTAGAATTGTTCTTCCGTGCTTTTGTGGTGGGCTGTATAGCTGGGAGGATGAATACTCTCAGCAGAGACTTTTCTCTATATCGAAAGTCTATACCTATAACCTATAACACATGCACCCATCACTGCTGCACCGTCCACACCTTGACACTGCCATCATCAGCCGTCGTGATGAGCACCTCCTCCTCCTTAGAGGGATCGCGACCCCGATCCGCCCGCTTCGCCCACGCCACATGATTGATCTCGTAGATGCCATGCGCGCCATTGAGGACTGCAACGACCACCCACTCCGTCGGGGGGAGTAGCGACAGCGCGACCATGGGATCCTCCTTAACCTGTGCATCATCAACCCGCCTCTCCTCATAAACCACGACCCTCCCATCCGCGCCAACCGAAGCAACCAAGCCAGTCCTCCGACTCCACGCCACCGAATAGACGGCCAAATCATGCACCAAGGGCAACACTGCCTCCTCCTCCCAGACCTCATCCAACCCCGTCGGCCGGATAATACTGGGCATATTGCCGGCCCCCAACTCCGTCGTCATCCCCAACTTGGGCTGCCTCCTCCACACCCTAACCGAGCGATCATCCGAGCACGAGATAATCCTCGGCCCGGACAACGCCCTCACCTCCTCTCCACCCTCCCCGGAAGGGGAAGACACCCCGACCGCAAGACCCTCAAACTCGACCCCCCAGACCGTGCCCGCATGGCCCCGCAAACAAGCGACCTGGCCCCAATCATCCAGATCCTCGCGCCACACGCGGATGGTATCATCGTAGCTGCCACTGACCAGACACTCCTCGGCGGGGTGCCACGCGACGCACTTGACGTCGCCCTCGTGCTCCTGCATTACCGCCACGGTCTCGAAGTTGTTGTCCCCGTCGTCCAGGTCCTCCCAGATCCAGATGGACTTGTCGCGCGAGCAGGTCGCCAGCAGCAGCCCGGAGGCCGACCACGCCACCGATTTGACTTCGCTGTCGTGGCCGTCGAGTAGCACGGCGAAGCGCCATTCTTCGTCGTCCTCGTCGTCGTTGGCCTCGGGGATATCTTCCGATGGGTCGGGGTTGGAGGTCGATGTGCCCCACGCGGCGTCTCCATCCTCATCCCCCTGTGATTGCGGGTGGATTTGGGAGGAGGTGTAGTTGTCCCACCGCCGCCAGATCCCCGCCGTCGCATCGAACGAGCCGCTGGCTAGCACGCTCTCCCCCGTCACGTGCGGCTTCCACGCCGCGGTGCGCACGCTGCGCTTGTGCCCGCCGGTGATCGTCGACAGCAACCGGAAGTTGGTGAGTGAGTAGATCCGGATGGTCTTGTCGGCGCTGCAGGTCGCGACGATGGGGAGGCGCGGGTGCGGGGCCGTTTGCCAGGTGCGCTCTTGCGAGGGGGGGTCCAGCGTCGAGAGCGGGGTGAGCGTGTACGGGGGCGGGGTTGGTGGGTTGGGCATTTTGATTTGCTTTTGGCCCTTGTGTTGGGGTGCAAAGTAGGTATGGTTTATGCGGGTTGGAGATTGTCGTGGTGGAGGGGTGATGTAAACTTCAATGAGGTTCGTTCAAAAGAAGTGAGCTAAGCTGGAAATCTGCCGATTGCTACAGCAGCAGCGGCGGCGGCGGCGGCGGCGGGGGAGGCAGGCGGAGCGCAGCGGGCGGAGGCGGTACGTATACACCTCTCTTACCGCCTGCTTTGTTCGGCCAACTGCATCTACTTATACTGACAGAATTGTGGAAAAGTAACTAACTACACAATTTCTCTGAGAACTGGACATCAGGTAAGTCGGACGACTATTCAGGGTGCTCATGGTGTCAGTTACCTGTGCAGTCTTCAACCAGATAACGAAGTCAATGATTGCTATCTGTGCCAAGCGCCAAAGGAAGCCAAGATGAGAAGGTCACAAGAGTGCGACTACGCAACCACATCAGATGAAATTACATCAAGGGGCACTGCTCGAGAGGCATTTCTCTATCCAAGCCAACCCAACACAAAGAGCCAAGACCGAGTACTAGGCTATCTAACGGAAGAAAGATGTGTTCTCGACCAGCACAAAAGCAACGACTTCACTCAGATCCGAGGCGTCCAGGACCTGGACGTTGCGGCAGTCCTCGGAGAAGACCACATGATACAGGTGGCCGCGGTATCCTAGCGAAGCTATGTCAGACTCAAACCTATTCTCTGCCTTCGGGCATGACGGAAAAGGTCAGGTATTACCTGGGTACTTCCTGCGTGGTCGGGTCTGGGTGAAATTCAAAACAATGTAATCGTCCATCAGCTCGTCCCGGATCATCGCAAAGTACGGGCCGTCTTTCTCGAAGCGTCGCATGTGCTGTGTGATCCGGTCGCCGTCGCGCATCAGCTCCAATCCCTACTTCTTCTGCTCGACCAGGAAGTCGATCCTGCCGCTGTGGAGACCCGCCGTTTTCTTGATGAGATACTCCGGAGACATCGCGATCTGGTACTCGAGGAGGAGCGGAAAGAGACAGCGGTAGAATTCCTTCTGGTATTGATCTTCCAGCGTGCGCGCGGTTTTCGACAGCTGGTGCGGGTCGAAATGGCGAATGGCTTCGGTAGCCATCTCCAGTGGGGATCGATAGGCCAGTTCTTTGGCTGGTGCGTCGTCGCGGAAGAAAAGGCACTGACAATACCTGGAGCCAATACTCTTAGCCAACCTAGGGCGAAGTAATCATAGACAAGGAGACTCGAACCATCGATGGATCTGGCTAGGAAACACATAGCGTGTCTCTCCCAGCACGATCTCCGCATGAAGCCATCCTTCCTTCCAAATCGCCTGCAGAGCCCGCTGTTGATCCGGGCTGTCGACATAGCTCGACTCCAGAGCTCCATCGTACATGACGGCGTTCTTGAAGACACTCGAGTAAGCGGATTGCTGCACCACTCGTTGTTTGGGCAACCCCCGAGCAAATGGGAGGTGCTGAATGATGCCGAACAATCGTCGGCAGTCGCCAAAGAGTCCCTGGCTTACTGTCGTCCAGTCGAGTGGCTGGCGTTTCCGGATCAGAGCATAGATCTCCTGTCACATAGAACAATAAGGTTACCCCCCCAAGAATTTCATGTCCCGCAAGGCCAGACTTACCGGTATCAATTCCAGGGCGTCGGCGAGGGACACCAGCAAGCCCGCGTGCCCCCCACTAACCAGGAACAAGCCATGCTTCAACTCCTTGGTCAAGATGTCCGCCCCGTTGGATATGACAATTGGCACATATCGATCCAGGATCTCGTGGGCCTCGGTCTCATCGAGCAGCAAGCCCACCGGCTTCCAGCGTGGGGCTGTCTCCGCGGTCTCCTCCGGCCGGAGCGAGATCTGCTGATGCGGTTTAAAGACTATCGGCGTCTTCCCGGGGAGCTCTCGCGCTCTCGGATCGTCGTCGTCGCCCCCCCGGGCTCGGAGCCGGCCGAGCCATAGCACGTGAACAGCACGATCTTGATGGCACTGCTGCCGGTGATGGACTTGAAGAGGTCCGTCCAGAGCTGCGTGTCTCAGTAGGTCTGCTGCGCCTCATCCAACAGCAAGAAGCCGGGATGCGCGAGGAGCTGATGGCCATGCGTCCGCAGCTGTTTCTGCAGAAAGAGCGCCCAGCCGCCCGCGATCCGCACGTTGTCCCACTCCCAGCCGCACAGCAGATACACGGGGGTCTGAGGGTAGCGGGCGAGGAGCTCGTTGGCAGCACCCGCGTCATCGAGGTCTTGCCCGACGCCGGCGTCCCGTTGACGCGGATCAGATGGTAGCGGTCCAACCGGGCGATCAGCTCGTCGAGCACTGGGGTCGCATGATAATATGGGACTCGATGCCTGTGCAAAGGGGTCATCCATGTTCCCGTGACCTCGCCTTCGACCTCGACCTCAACATCCAGAGAGTAACCAAAACTCACCAAGCGGCTCAGTCACCGGTGCAGGTCGTCTGCTCGCAGGGCCTGAAGAACCGGGCGGTTCTAGAGTGTGCGCACGTGTTCTTCGCGTCAGTATACACCTGGTAAGGCTCGCCCAGAGAGAACACCAAGAGCTAACAGTAACTATCATGATCGCTCAAGGGGTGAGAACATCTGTCACACGCCACGGCACTAGACAACCCATCCAGCTTGGAGGTGCTCGAGCCCGAGGCACAGTGGCAATCTCGTACACCGCATGGCCCCATGGTGAGAAGTAGGGTGTTCATGGCGGCAGCAGTCACTAGACCAGAACAAGACGGGATCATCGGTGATTGCCGTGGTGTCTTCGCCATTTTGAAGGGGTGTATGGAATCAAAATCTCCGGCGTCTCGTCTAGTTCCGTTCGTTTGTTTGTATGCAAAACAGCGAGGTGTACTGTCCCAGAGCATGTACGAGTAGCGAGTCACCGCAAAGTCTCTCTCTCGCGCACGCATTGTCGGCAATTCACACCGGCGCGAGAGAGAGAACGCACCTTTCTTTCATGAAGTAACAAAGAAAAGCGGCGGTGGTCTGCTGTGTACATACAGTACCTATACCACTAATATTCCAGATTCATCGTTCTTTGTTTTGTCGTCCGCGGGAAGATAGGTACAGTTTAGCTACCCCATGTAGTAGTGGCACGCCTCCACAATCTTTGGTTTGCAAGATGCACAGCAGAAGTTCTATGCCTGCATCGGTCCAACCTCTCTCGATACAACAAATGCAGTGGTTAGGATCTTCCGTTTGTCTCATGGGGGCAACCCCGGGTTATCGATCCTTGCAAACGCCGGCAACCCGCTTCTTTGGTTGTGGTTGACCAGTAGTCTCTTGTAACTTTACTAAATTCGTGTAGAAATGTTGAGGGTTCTTACTTTATTGAATATCGTAAGAGGATTCGATGACCATCTTTCTTCCTTCTTCTATAAACAATATTCGCTACCTTAGAGATGTTACAATCGACTAGCACTCCGTACGCATGGGATCGAATGATAGAATGACTCAAGTTCATATGGATCATGACGATGAACCAACTCGCAAAGAAGGAATTAAGTAATCTCAGTCTGCTCCAAAGTCCTTTACCTAGACAAGTAGAAGTAGTATCCCTAATACACCTAATACGCCAAAGCCAAGTGAAGCCCACCAACCTGGACCCTGACAATGACAATCTTATATCATTCAAGCGTTGCCGTCGCCCAGAATGCGCTCGTACACCATCCCATGACACAGCCAATCCACCTCGCGCATCTTCTCCATCTCGTCCGTTAGCTGCCCCACCTCCGTGACGAACTCGGGCATGCCCGCTCCGGCCAGACTCTGGCTGGCCGTCGTCGTCGCACGCACGCGTTCGCTGGCGCTGGACGCGCTCAGCCGCGACAGGATATGGGCGCGCAGGCGCGAGAGGATCAGTCGGGCCACCGGGTCGGCAAAGCCGGAAGTCCCGTTGCCGCTGCCGCTTGTCGCCGTCGCAGAGCTGGCGGCATCCGACGTGTACGACGCCGCGGACGAGGTCGACTCGACCTGGATCTCCACGGATGGCTGGGTACCTTCCCCCTCCGTGTGGGCGGCGGCGCAGGCAGTAGCAACGGGCACCAGAACGCGGCGGATGGTTGCGGCCAGCTGCGCACTGGCGTTGGGTGGCATCGGGTGAGTGGATTCCAGGATGGATTGAACCCGGTCAGGCTGGATCTCATTGAAGTCCAGAGACAGGATCCGGTCCGCTTCCGCTTTCCATTGAGATCGCACGTCGCGCTTCAGCAGGTTCTTGGCTGTCAGGAGAATCGAAGCGGTGGCAACGATCCGGAACGCTCGGGCATGCAATCGCGCAAGTCGCTGCCGATCCAGCTCCAGGGTCTCCGGGATGAGCTCTTCGGAGACAGGCGCATTGCTCATCACCAGATCCACAATCCCATGCGCATAGACCTTGGCACTTGGCGGTCGTGGCTCCCCGTGCACGTTCTCCGGGTCCCGCTTGCGCATCTCATCAGCAATGATCTTGCGGTGCGTCCGCCAAAAGCGCCGCGTCTTCCCCAAGCTCTGAGTGCCCTCTTGAAGACCCTTCTCGAATGTCCGCTGCTCATACCCGGGAGCCTCCTGGATCAGTTGTGGTGCTGCAACCTGAATCATGAAGTTGGTGTGGTCAAGGGAGAGGAGGTCGATGATGCCCATTAGTCGGGCAAGTCGGTCAATGGCGTCGCCCGACGTGTCCTCGGCAAATGCCTTGACGACCGGATCACGGTACGGAGCGCAAAGCTTGGGTAGAATAGTACTCATGAAATTGAAGAAGCTGTCGTAGGAGAAGGCGCCGGCCCTGCACTGGCTTTCCACCAACTTGGGGTCCAGCACCTCGCTGATCAGCACATGCAGCGAATTCCCTGGCCGCAGTGAGCGAAGCAAACGGTCTTGGATCACCGTAGCCATGGCCACTGTCCAGTTTGTCTCCAGGCCAGCTTCAACGTCCTTACGCATCATGTCACACATGTGTTTCATGATACGCTTGCGTGGCTCGGTGTACTGTTTCTCGTCAATCCGGAACTCCTTGTTGATCAAGAGCTCGTGCACCAGAGCCCGATTTTCCGGCAGTGCCGTCAGCATCCGAGTAAACCGCTCGTGGGGCGAAACACGCTGCCGGTCTAGCTCATGCAAGACCCCACTGTCCACGGTGTTGAATGTCTCACTGATAGGTGAAGCAACACTCTCTGTGAGGGCTTCCGTTGAAGCGGTTGCGACCTCCGCCGATCGCGGGATGGCCTGCTTGGACGCGGTCCGCTTCTTCTCCCGCTTTGCCTTCTTCAGGGCATTCCGCACCATCTCCATGGCCTTATCAGCGCCTGCCAATCGCTTCAATCTAGCAAGGAGCAAGATCTGATTCTGCCGAATTCCTTGGCGATAATCCTCTGCGACGCCGCCAGCACGATCATTCTTGACTGTCTGCCAGATCAACTCCAGTTCGATGAACTGAGCCAACATGATCTCAATGAGGACGCTGGAATCGTGAGATTTCCAGGCGTGGAATGCGGAGAAGAAGACATTATAGGCCTCGCATAGAGCCTGCAGCTCGGTGGCGATGGCCGCGGGAGAACAGCACCCTGAGGAGAGCAAGGGGGTCACCAACTCGAACGCGGCGAGGAGCTCCCGCGCTTTAGCAATCAGGTCTTGCTCCTGCTCTCCGTTGCTGCTCAGAACCTCAGTAGGGTGAGTCACTATCAAGTAACTGCTGAGAAACGTGCGCACCGCACCCCGTCCACCCATCGTGCCGCTTTCCATATCCTGCAGACCACACAGCCGAAGGACTCGGGCCGTTGTCTCCAACACCCGCTCGTTCGACAATAGGACACCGACCTCCTCGAAATCCTTCTCCCGAATGTGATCGGTGGTCAGGTCGAGAGCCAGGAAACCACGCATGACCATCTTCGCATGGTAGGTCCTCCAGACCCGCTGGATGATCCGAGCGGCGGCATCCCGGGTGACTGCCTGTGCGGTGGCCGCCTTGGGCATCTTCTCGTCGCCAGCTGAGGGCAGACTGCTCGTGCGGTGGCGCCGCTGGGTCTGCTGGTAGAGCGCCCGGCGCTTCTCCGCCTCTGCGAACTTCTCCGCGATCTCCAAGCGGAGTCGAGCGTGTTCGGCGGCCTTGCGCTCCCGGTTGTCTTCCGCCTTCTTCTTCGCGCGACGGACTTCCTCCTCGCACTTGGCTGTGATCTCCGCCAAGAGTCGCTCCCGGGCCTGCTGGGCAGCCAGGGCTCGCTCCTCCCGCTGCAGGTTCCGGGTGGCCGCTTTCGCCAAGGCAGCCCGGAGCCTGACTTTCTCCGCGTGCAACGCGCGGTCCGCGAGTCGAGCCTTGCGACTCTCGAGAATGGAGGTCCGTCGGAGGTGATGTGCTACGTGTTCGGTCGACGACGCGCCATGGGCGGGCCCGTTCAGGGAGGAGATCGAGCTGCGGCGGGAGGAGGCGGCGGAGGAGCGGCGAACGACACTCGGCTTGCGAGCAAAGCGAGCGGCGAGGTGGGTGGGCAGGTTCGAAGGTAATGTTGGCTCATCAGACATCATCTCCACATCTGCTTCTGTCGGAGGTTCGGATTCGACGGAGGGAGGGGGGGCCGCATCGGAGAGTTGGACGTCGATGTCGGAGTTGCGACGGATCATATTCTGCGGTTGATTCCACGGGAAGCGGGGGGTTAACCGAGATATCGAGATATGAGAGGGCGCTGACGAGACGGGATCGGGTAGATACGCAGGTTCCGTGGATGACCCCTGTATTGTAGTAGAGAAGGAGAGTTGGGAATTCGTTCAGGTCGGATCAGGCTGCAGTTCGGAGCATGCCTGAGAAGAGATCCGTGCTCTGTTTCAGAAGAGGAGAGTTTGGTTGGAGTGTCGAATTAGTAGGGAGTGAAAGTGTAAGTGTAAGTGTAAGCGTTTGTCAGAGTGAAGGAACAGTAGTAAGTTGGGACAAAGGGCAACAATGTCGAGGAGGACAGGCAGAAGCTAAGCAAGTCGACCAGTCACGAACTCAGCCCCGAAAGTATGTATGATGATACGAGAGATAAGGCAGGGGAAAAGAAAGCATGGCTTTCCAGGGCGTCCATCATGGGATCGACCAGGGGAGGGAGTGTATTTCACCTTTCGTCGTCATCAGGCCGGAAGAAGAATGAAGCCCGTCGAAGCCGCCGCATCCAGCCGCGCTGACTAATCCCGATTTGCAATGCAGCTGCAGCACAGCATAATGGCAGCTGCAGGAAGCAGCTAGCAGTTGGTAACGGATTATACCAGTATATGTAATTAAAACATAAGAGACAGAGAGAGTAGCAGAATTAGTAGTAGTTGAAATCGATAAATAAATCTAGACTATGCCTCCCCCTCATGCATGCGAGATGTGTGTTTCAATGCATCGCAAGTACCAACAACATTTTAACACCACCCACCGATCTCCAATAACAGACAAATCCTCGTCCCGGCAACTCAGACGCCGAATATAGATGCAATATGTATCATCCGTAAGAAACAGAAACAAGCGAAGCTGCGGTCGAAGTCATGCATCACTAGACGCCCACCATGTCCGTAGCAAGATATCATACAAGTCACTTAGTTGGTCCAGCCAACTTTCGTCTTCGCCAATGTAGTTGGTCGTCACTTTTTGATTATGCTAAAGAGGTCAGCGGCTTGTCGGTCAAAGTCAGAAAGTATCCGCATCAGTAGCTAGGCAAGCCTATCACGCCGCTGCAGGAGTGGGAGGGTAGCATGCGACAAGCAGCACCGACTGGTGACCTCAGCGGTGGCCAAAAATGTCAATACCCTCGTCATCGTCTTCTTCCTCATCGCTGCCGTCCTCTGAGCCGCTGTTCCCTGAGGCACCATCACCCTCGTCTTCTTCGACATCGGCATCGGATGCGCCGTCGACGGACTCAGCTTCCTGCCCAAGGAAACCATAGCTGTACTTGAACTTGGTACCCCACAAGCGAAGTTCACCGCCATCTTCATTCCTTCCTCCGCCACCGCCGACGCCACCAAATGTGAGGCCGCTGAAGAAGGAAGTCGACTGCGACCGCTCCGAATCACGGTCAGGCGGAATGCCAAAGTAGTTTCTGATGACGGGCGACACAGCACGATCACGAGTCAAGCTGTAGGAGGCGAATTGCCGACTCGGATCGGCAGACATGGGGACAGAAAGCCGAGAGTCGGGCCCGGGAACCGAGCTAGTGTCAATTCGCAGCGACTCGAACGTAGGCAGACCGCTCTCGTCAGCGCCATGGGAGGAAGACCTGGCCCGCGGTGTCGATATTCCTTCGCTATCACTCTCCAGGGCAGATGGGTCTGAAGCGTTGCCTCGAACCAGACGAATCTGTGCGGTATTGTACGATTCACACCTGTATCTCATTAGATTTTGAATAGGCATAGAGGAGCATCAAAACTCACAAATCACATCTCAATCCCAGCCAATGATATCTCACGACAGACTTCGCACTGCAGTCGTTGCAATAGACCAGAGCTTTGGTGTCCTTAAATTCCGCCGGCATAGGCTGGCTTTCAATGGTGCGATCCAGATTCCGGAATGTAGACTCCATGTTGGTGATGGTTTTGCTGCAGATCGGGCAGCGGTACGAGGTCTTGGAATACTCGGAAAGACACCGTTGGTGAATGCTGTGGCCACAACGCATGAATACTACAGTCTCCGGGGAAGTAAACATATAGTCTCCGCAAATGGGGCAATCGCATTGCGTAGATCGCTCAATGCATCGGTGGGTGTTCTCGATAGATATAGGAAGGCAAACGCTACACGTCTGAGATTTGGTTAGCTTCCAGCATTGCTCAGCTGGGCTTATAGGTCCGCTCACCTTGCAGTGGAAGAAGTCTTTCCCCAGACCTTTTCCAATGCGGCAGATGCCACAATCACCGCAGTGATATATACTCTTGTTGGCGTCGTTGTCCCAAAGCTTACAGATATCACAATAATACTGCGCCCCTTGTTCGCCGCACTTCCTGCAGGATTGTGCTGCAGGCTGGGCTTCCCCACACAGCATGCAGAGCATGTGCTCTGTTTTCGGCCGGTCCATACGGTGCTCCTCAATCTCGTCATGGCAGAAGCGGCATGTGTACCATTTGTTGCAGTCAAAACACTGCGCCTTGACGTTTGTCTTATAATGTGGACAGCCAAGAAAGACTTCCTCGACCTCTTCGAGGTCCAGATCGTCAACCTCACAGGCAGGTGATTCTAGTTCTGGTTTCGGTGCATATGTCGGCACCAAATCTTCTGCCGTCAAATTATAAGAGATCTCGCCCTTGGCCGGAGTGGAGGACGAAGGTAACAACGACCGCTCCAAGGATATGATGCTCCATCGGCGAGCAGATTCGTCCTGCCTTGGACTCTGTGGAGTGAGAGGCGTCGGACTCCTGGGAGTATTCTGGTCGGCAGAGTCAACCCGGTGGAGATTGTATTTCTCGGTCATCAGTGCGTGGATCATGCGTGCCTGGTCTGTGTTGCTATAACCCACATCTCGAATCGCATGGATTCGTCTCCGTAAAGCACCCATTCCGTCGTCCTCTGGAAGTGCCAAAGGACCGGACTCGTCCGTCCCAACCATGTTACTCAATGCCTGCTCCGGGGTGTGCGAATGTGGACTTGAGGATTGGAAGACATCTTGCCTAGTTGGAGCTGAGACGGTCTGCTGTGGGCTGGTCAGGATATTTGTGCGCGTCATCTGGGGAGATGTATTCTGTGATACGCCGGCATGACCTGCGTTGATTGTCCATCCAGCGGGAAACCGGTGTTCTGGCCCACGAGAAACTCGACTCGACGAACTGCTCGAAGGTGGAGTGGATGTGACAGGGCGGCCATCTTCAGACCCCGCATCTCCGGCATTTGACAGATCTACCGGGTTCGCTGAATCGATCATGACCGCACTGTGAGGAGATTCGGTGCCATTACTGGCCACGGACGAGGAATGGTCTTTTTCAGCTGCGAGGGAGTCGGAGGATGGTGGTGGAGTGGTCTGTTGTGAGAGGCGACGGGCCTGCCGAACGACGGGTTCAATCAACAAAGAGGAGAGGAGCCCGCTCATGGAGTAGATCAAACAGCATCAGATGCAGGCAAAAGCATAGGAAAGATAAGAGATTGGATGATTGGAGAAGGGAGCTACACCAGAAAAGGCTTGGGAGGCCTAGGATAAGGTAGGCAAGATAAAAGCAGCAAGGAATACGGAGTAACTCGAGACCGAAAACGGATGGGAGAGGGAGGGTCGGAGGGAGGAAGTGATTCGATCTCGGATGGTAACCGCTTCGTCAGCCGCTATGACGTTGAGGCCTGGGAGTCGGTGGTCCTTGTCTTGACACGGTGGGTGGTGTTGGATAAGAACTGCACGCGTTCGCGGTTGCGCTGATGTATGCGTGGACTGATATGTCGAACACTCTATGCAAAACTAACCCTCGTGTTTTTGCCAGGTCTTGAGTTGTATTTGCTGAGTTGGGGATTTGGTGGACTGAGCCCGCGAGAGGCGATCGGCCACTGCTCTGCGCAAAAGTGAGAGCTTGCTGGATTTGGCTTAGCTCGGGCCCATTTTCATGGTTACTTCCCATATCGGGCCTAGCGTAATTCGTGCCCGTCGGCAGTTTATCAAGCATGTGATAATGCTCCCGGGCCATCACTTAGGTAGCGTCCACGGTATAACACTACGGAGCAAGTTACAACACTTTCTACTCACTAGTTCTACTGTACTCACAATTGTCAATGTCCTATCATAGGTTTTCGGCATTCGATCTAGTGAATCTGACTTTGTTGAACAACAGCACACTCGACAATATGATACACTAATCTTCAATCCGCTTTTCTCCAACACTTGACGCTGTTCCGACTAACCCCATATCGAGATCTCATACTATGGTAGCTTACTGCTTGGCGAACCATTGAACCGCCTTCAAAATAGCAACCCAATGGATGCATGCACTCACACTGATACTTGCGAGGCATTAAATCCCTGTTGGATACACCCTAAAGTCATAACAAGCATGCTGATCTTGTAGGAAGCGAGCATATCCATTATAGTATACTTCACTCAATCATTTACCAGTGGTTTTCATCCTTATGAGACAAGTCTAGACTGGGCTAAATCACTCTTCAAGAATCGGCTTCAGAAGCGGGATGTGGTAAGCTGTCTTCGGGAGAAGCTGCATTACATGTCACGATCGACCTACTCTATTCAGGGATATACCTAGCAGCGCCTTGGAGCAGGTTCCGCGGCGTCCCAGGGAGGAAGTCACCCATGATGTCAGAAGCTGCTGGGTCATACAGCCTGACTATAATAGGGTTGGTCTGCGTAGGCCCTATATCGATTCACTACTCGTTTTGGTATGTGGCAGCTTCTTGAAATCAGTCGATTGCTAGTGCCAATAAGCGATGCTTGCATGAGAGGTATATATAGTTTGCGTGCCGCGCCCTGTGGACCCGTGCTGTTCTCCAATAAGGCGAGCAAGAGGTCATGGCTCGCGTTCGATACCACAGAGCTGAGGAAATAGGATTCAAAATATACGGTGGTGCACACATATGACCAAGCAAAAGCAAAGGTCAATCCCAAATTCGCTGCAAAGTATGTGCGTGGTGAACGCTTCTGGTTCCGAGACGGTAATCTTCATATCAAGATTTCCGCCAGAATAGCCGGATCGTCGCGTTCGAAATATTTATGATAAGGTGACGTAGTTTCATTTGAAGCGATAAGCTCGTCAATAATAGACAACCCTTCTTTTGAAAGGATCCATTGCAGATACATCATGAGTCAAGTCTGATGTGATATCACTCATGGATGGTACATGCAGTTACTCCGTAAAATCTCGGGATGACTTCCGAGCCAAGAATGGGAAGAAAGACAAACAGAACAAACCGCTTTGACTCAACCCAGATTTCTCTCCAATCCCTTCCTGTCGTGTGAACTGTTTCTCCTCGAGCATCAAGATAGAGGCCTGTGCTCAGTACTTGCTCATAGTCCTTCATTATGGGTGGCGTAGCTCAGCAGAGTTCCGTCCCGATCGAGATGGAAGCGACTTCGTCTCCGTCTCAACCTGCGACTGCAAAGACGCACGGCTCGGGCGTTTCGGACAATAACGAACATTTATTGAGCCATGGCCCAGAACCAGGCACTTCGCCGTTGCAAATTCAAAGGCTCGAATCGGGTCAGGATGCCCCGGTAGCTCGCAGCAACTGGAAGATCTTTGCGACCATGATTGCTCTTTCGGTATGTTACCGCAGCCAAAGCATGCTCGTTCCAGCCAAAGTTTTTGGTAGAGAGCCCGACTGATAAGCCCTTACTGATACGCGCATGTTCAAGCTTGCTCTTTTCATCTCAGCCCTAGACCAGACCATTGTGGCTACGGCCACCCCCACCATCTCGTCAGAATTGCACTCCGCATCGGGCTATGTCTGGATCGGAGGTGCATATCTCCTGGCCAATGCGGCTAGTTCTAATATCTGGGCCAATCTCTCCGATATCTGGGGACGAAAGCCCGTTCTGCTCACTGCCGTTGCCTTGTTCTTTGGCGCATCGATCATCTGCGCTACTGCGGTTGACATGCCTATGTTGATCGCGGGTCGTGGCTTACAAGGCATAGCTGGTGGTGGACTCATTCAGTTGATTACCATCACTATCTCTGACTTGTTTAGTGTTCGGTATGAGACCGATGCATACCCGCACCCTAGAAGTGATGAATGCTGACCTCCGAACAGACTTCGCAGCCTCTTCATGGGGCTCATCGAGTTCATTTGGGCTATTGCGGGGGCCATGGGCCCTCTTGTCGGTGGTGCTTTCACCCAGTCCGTCTCCTGGCGATGGATTTTCTGGATCAACCTCCCAGTCTGTGGAACGGCTTTTGTGCTACTTTTCTTCTTCTTGGACATTCACAACCCTAGGACGCCAGTGCTGGCCGGCATCAAGGCAGTCGATTGGTGGGGTAGCTTCTCCATGCTTGCCCTCATCATCTTGCTGCTGTTGGGGCTGGATTTCGGAGGAGCCACGTTCCCCTGGGGCTCGCCGAAAGTGATTTGTCTGATCGTATTTGGCGCCTTGATGTCGGTCGCCTTTATTTATAGTGAGAAGCGCTTGGCTAAGTATCCGCTCATGCCACTGGGTGTCTTCCACAACAGATCCAACGTTGCCTGCTTTCTGGTCGCATTCACCCACGGCTTTGTGAGTCTGAGCTGGATCCTCTCACCCTGTGGGCCACTTACTAACATCCAGGTGATCAGGCTTTCCTCGGATCGGAGTACTATCTTCCGACCTATTTCCAGTCAGCAAAAGAAGCAACTCCCTTCCACTCTGGACTTATGATTCTTCCATTCGTGCTCACCGAAGCCGCTCTAAGTCTGTTTGCTGGTTTGTTTATCCATGGCACTGGCCGATACCTGGAGATCGTCTGGGCGGGAACCACCCTCGTTGTTCTCGGTGTCGGGCTATTCATCAATCTCGACACCGCCTCATCGCTGGGTAAGATTATTGGGTACCAGATTGTAACCGGCATGGGATGCGGCTTGCTCTTCTTCCCGCCCCTTCTTGCTCTACAAAGCAACGTTTCGCAACGGGACACTGCAAGCGCGACCGCAACATTTGGATTCATCCGCAACGTGGCGATGGCCATGTCGGTGGTTCTGGGTGGCGTCGTGTTCCAGAACAGTATGGAAATGCGGCAGGGAGATCTCCGCGCCGCAGGCTTGTCGTCGTCATATCTGGAGGAGTTCTCGGGGTCGGAAGCTGCGTCCAATGTGGTGATCATCTCTTCTGTTCAGGATGCGGATCAACGTCATGCGGTAACCAACGCCTATGCCTGGAGTCTTCGTAACATCTGGATTCTGTATGCGTGTGTGGCGGCTGTTGGTTTTATTGCCAGCATGTTCATCACCCGGCAGCATCTTAGTAAGGAGCATGTGGAGACCAAGACTGGACTGAAGGAGAAGGAATCGACCAGCTCATAGTGGGCATTGTGAATGTCGCTGAAGATGCCGGTACAGAAAGGTTTGCTTTTGGCTACCGAATCAGTACATAGCTTGCATTGTTGCATTTGTATATGGGTGTCGTGATTGAGCATCAGCCCAATGGCCCTTTCAAGTCACAGCTGTCATAAAGAATCAATAGAACTCAATCGACAGAACCATTTTCGTTCAGAATTCAAGGCTTCAGAGTTGAAAAGAATGGGCCATCGGAGGTCTGAAAGTGATTGTGGCACGTCTCATTCTGGTAGGAACGAAAGGCGTTTGGGTGCTAACGCAACCCCAAGAAAGCCGATGACAGGAGCGAATCGACCACATGGTTGTGAAATGTATTCAAGGCTTAGCGCCGGTCACTTCTTAAGACACTCCCGCAACGCCACGCAGCGACAGAAACGCAACTCGCGGAAGCCGGCATGACAGCCCAGAACTGAAACCGCCCTCGTAGGACGCTTGCTGCTCATTGGGGTTGATTGCATGACAATGTCACATCCGCTAGGATCGCAGAGACAACTCCTGGAATGATTATCCAGGTGTCGAAGTGATGGGCTAAGTCTTGAGCAGGCAGGGCACCCCTAAAGCTTGGGGGCTGATATGTCTGGACAACATCCGATGATGGCAGTTCGGCATCCAAGTCGCATTCCTACTGGTCACTTCGTATAGCTCGGTACAACTAAAGAGATCCAGAGCCTCTGGTCCAAGAATGAACGATCAAGAGACAAATATGTTTCATCTCGAATGCTAACTGCGAGGGCGAATATGAAACCATGGTCAGCGCGCGTCACTCCCAACTAACAATATACTAACTAATCATGATTACTCAACGGTTGGGAACCATCATATCGCCAAGCCTGTTGGTCAATTGCTGGCTAGAAGCAATCACAAGGATTGGACTGTTGCATCTCTCACTCAGTGGAATATCTTCGTGCCGCTTGTGCCATGTTTTCGAGACGTTGCCAGGATTGGGCCATTTCATTGCCCGTGTTGCTGGAGGCATTCGATAAATATGGTGGACTCTGCTGGTGGGACGTAGAGACCAAAGACCCATGACTTCTGCTGCCATTGTGTCACAGCCACTGGCTAGTTTGGCTCTTAGCGAACAAGAACAGTAGAGACTCAAACAGAGACCTGTTAGCTTACTCATGACAGTTTATTAATCAGATCTTAGCTTTGCGGCAGGAACAATGAGCGGACGAACCGGAATCCCCGGCGAGAATACCGTGAGAATTTTGGCGGCAGTGCAATGGTCCTGAAGCAAATGAGTTGGTGGGTCAAGTTGGGGGCGAAGGAGGAAAGTCGATGTTGGCTGCGAGTCAGGAAGTAAGCAAAAGTCGGTCGTGGGGGCGGTGGGCACTGGGCAGAGCTTCATTTCTCCTCCATCTCACTTTTCCTTTACTGGTAATGAGCTTTCCCTTCGAGATTCAGCCCCTAATCACTACTTGCACTATTTCCATACCTACCAGATGGTGATACTCTAGCTGAGGGGCCACGATGTCTCTACAGCATCTCAAAGTCCGTTGCGTTGTTGAACTGTCTGAAACCGTGGGCAAGAAAGGGCCTTAAAAATGAATGCATCGACCAAGATGAGGGATAAAAGGGTTGCAAGAGACCCAGGTCCGGTCAAACCCAGATAGCCTCATCGTACAGCAAGATCTGAACTATGCTCAGGAAAACCTTCTTGCTGGCCCTTTGGGCTAGTGGTGTTGTTACCGGAGCCCTGGCGGCCGATTCAAATGCCAACTCAGTCGAGTCTTATGACTCTATTGCGACAGTGGCAGATATTGTGGAATACCCTGATCCTCACAAGAATTTCGCCAGGCATGGCTTGGCCTATGTCCTGCAGCGGAGGAAGCACAAGTCTAGCAGCAGCAGCGGTAGTACTATATGGGGGCACAGCGGTGGTAAAGACACTACTACAAAGGCAGAGCAGAAGAAGACGACTACCACCAAGAAAGAGGAGCTGACAATCACGAAGTCGACGACGACCACCCATGCGACCACCACTACAACTACGACTACAACAACCGAGGAGAAGCATACGACCACCTCCAGCTCGAAGACAACTGCTTCCTCCACCACGACATCCACCACGAGCACCACCACTAGCACAACCACTTCGCATGCTTCTACCATAACTTCGACTTCATCTATTACCACTATTCCGTCCACCACTAGCAAGACCACAACTTCCATATCCAATAAGTCTCCTGAGGCCGAGCGTTCAGCCACTGCAATTAGTTCAGAGTCAACATCGTCATCCACTACGACCTCTAGAACGTCCACCCTTGCAGTCCAGCACTCGTCGTCGACTTCCACCAAAGAAACAAGTTCTAAGTCTGTTACAAAATCCACCGAAGTGGAGCATGGATCTACGAGCAAGGTTGATACGGCCACCAAGTCTGTCACAAGCACGACAGAGCTGAGCCATGCTTCTTCGACCAGGGCCGAGATAAACTCCAAGTCTGTCACAAGCACTGCAGAGCTACACCATCCCTCTTCGACTAAGGTCGAGATAACCTCCAAGTCCGTCACAAGCACTGCAGAGCTGAATCATGCCTCTTCGACCAGAGTCGAGACAGCCTCCAAGTCTATTACAACCCCAGTGGAAGCGGGGCACACTCCTACAACCGGTAAAGAGACTGCGTCTAGATCCGTGACACGCTCTATCAAGGCAGGCCATGCATCTTCCACTGCGGCAGTGCACACGTCTGCTACCGGGCTTATCAATACCTCGCATCATGCTCAGCACTCGGTCACGGCAACCAGCACACATGCTATTCATACACCCGGCGCAGATCACTCGGTTAGTGCAAGTGTTCATGTTGGTAGCAGCACTATCGGAGAGCCCAGCGCTGCGCCGTCGACCGTGCCGGATTCTGAAGATGGTGATGGTGATGATGACGGCTCTTCAGATGACGGCTCTTCAGATGACGGCTCTTCAGATGACGGCTCTTCAGATGACGGCGCTTCAGACGACGGGTCTTCAGATGATGGTTCATCAGATGATGGAACCTCGGACGATGGCTCCTCAGACGATGGCTCCTCAGACGACGGCTCCTCGGATGACGGCTCTTCTGACGATGGTTCTTCAGACGATGGATCCTCAGATGACGGCTCCTCAGATGACGGCTCTTCTGACGGTGGATCCTCAGACGATGGTTCCTCAGATGACGGCTCTTCGGACGACGACGGGTCCTCTGATGACGGCTCCTCAGACGATGGTTCTTCAGACGATGGCTCCTCCTCCGATGGGTCCCCAGACCCCACCAACAGCCAAAGCCCACCTACCCCCTCCTCCTCCACCCCCCTGATATACGGCAGCTCGACCTCGGCCGCAATCCCCTCCTCGACACCCGCCGCCTCTAGCTCCCGCCCCGCCTGGGCCTATCCATCCTCGACCTTCAGCATCATGGCTTCCTCGACACCACAGATCACGCCGGGCGCGACACCGGTTGTTTAAAGGCCTGATCACACACCACACACCAATACAGATCCCAAGACTATGGTATAGTCTGTCCATCACTCGTTCTGAATTTTCTTATTCTGCACTTGTATAAACATTTTTCGATCACATTAACCATACTGTCCTTGACCAACTTACCTTTCTTTCCTGTGTCATACTTCCTTTCGATTCTTTCGTTCGTTTTTTCTGATTTGAATGTATCTATTTTAGTCGTTGATAAGAGGGATGGGTTGGTTAGCTGAGCTAATTTGTGACCGAGGTTCGGCGTGTATGCCTACCTAGTAGATAGTTATGTTTTTCTCACCCTGACGGTTTTGATTGGTTGTAATGCTTCGATTAGAAGAACTGCTCATTTAAAGTAGACCCTGCCGCATTGTTTGATATCGTAAGATCTACGTTGTACTCTGTAGGACTACGATAATTGATAGCCACAAAGTTCAGTGTCAGAAAGCTGATGCATTAAAACCCATTATCCATGAAAACCCGCTCCCGTGGCAGGCCATCCTCCAAAGAAATACTCTCTCATCATCACCATCTAATCCAAGAACACCAACCGCCCATTCTGATTTGAGATCCTCTCATCCAAGCGGATCCAGCTCCTCTTCCACCCGCCATTGCCATCGCCCAGATCCGCCACCAGGACGCGGCCCCCATCCTCGAGGTGGACGTTGCTCGCCGAGGCGGCGAAATTGCCGTGGCGGGCCCACTTGAACTCGCCCCAGGAGTTGGTGAGGACGTCGTTGAGCGGGATGACCGAGCGGTGCTGGCGGCCGTCGACGTCGCCGCAGTAGGCCACGAGCTCGTGGTACCCCTCGAGCCGGATCTCGCGGGAGGAGCCGGAGAAGTTCCCGCGGAAGGTTCTTCCGGGATGATGCTTACGTTCGTCATCGGAGGAGGAGGACGACGAGGACGACGAGCAGGAGTGCCGGCGGTGGTGGCGGTCGGCGCGGCGCTGCATCTTGCGCTCTTCCTTCTCGCGGCGCTTCTGCTCCTTGAGGGCCTCCTTCTGCCGGCGGAGGGCTTCCTTTTCTTCCTCCTCTTTCTTCTTGCGGTGGTTCTTGATGGCGTCTTCCGCGACGGAGCCCGTCAGCGCGCCGCCGATCGCGCCCAGGAAGCCGTGGTTCACCTTGTGGCCTGCGAAGGCGCCGGCCGCGCCGCCGGTCACGGCCCCTAGGAAGCCGCGGTCTTGGTCGTCGGTGGCGCCCGGCGGGAGGTTGGGGTTGGTGCTGTAGGGTGGGGGTTGTTGGGGGCCTGGTTGCTGTTGCTGCTGCTGCTGGTAGGGGGAATATGGGCGGTCATTGTAGGGTGCTCCTCCTTCTTGTGGAGGGTATGGGGGGTAGCCAGAAGGGGTGGGGGAGGGTCCTCCGTGCTGAGGGTACGGGGGCTGCGGCTGCTGTCCGTACGGCTGGTGGGGGTAGCCTTCGCCGCCTAGGGAGGGGGAAGGAGAAGGTCCGTTCCATGACCCCTGCGCCATTCGGGGGTCTGGTGGGGAGGCATAGTAGTTCTGATTGGGGTTGGGGTTGGGGTTGGAGTTTGGACGATAGTAGTTCTCGGAGGGGGGATAGGGACTGTAGGCGCTGGTGCGAGGCGTGTCCGGTCCAGGCGTCGATGAGTTCCAGGGTCCAGGAGTGTGGGATTCCTCCCGACGAGGAGGGTTTTGAGAAGACCCGCCGAAGTATTCTTGTGCTGACATCGGGGTTGGCTGGTGACTTTGTGAGCTGAAATGTCTTTGTGGGAGTTTGGTTTCTGGAAGTGAAGACCAGAGAAAAATGGAAGTAAAAGGAGGACAGTGAAGTGGGGAAGAGAAAAGAAAGAGCGAGAGTAAGAGCGAAGAGTTGGGCTAGCTATATAAGCGCTTGCTTGTAGAGGAAGCGAAGCAGCGTTTGCTTCACTGCCCAGTGCCTGCCCCCCAGTCGTGGCTGTGCTGGGCAATAATCGCCTACATTAGTTTTGGTACCTAAACTTCAATCCTCAATTTGTTTGGTTCCTGCCTGTTCCAGGCAAGCATAAGGCTGACGCGACTCAGACACTGCCACATCCTGGCGGGGGAGATTCTGTGGCTGAGACACCCAAAGTGGGGATTGTCCATTTGCAATTTCCTGGGCCAAGGATTGATCCAGGGGATCAGGTCAAGTCGGGCATAATGAGTAAGTCATGCACATGCACATGCACAAGCGGATAGTCTCGGACAGCGGATGGCAGACCCAGAATTAAATGCTGGCGATGTTAGGTCATGACTCTTAGTTAACGCCATTTAGTTATGTCACTATAGCGATATACATGAACTACAAGCTACACCACCAAGCAACGAGCAACACTCTCATGGATATAAACTGAATCCACAATAACCAGTCAGTACCTTAGTTAATCACCTGCACGAATGGCCAATTACCCAATCGACGCTACAGAATCGGCCTCTTCCGCCGGTTGCAGATAACGGCGAGTGCCGATGTCTTATCAGCTAACGTTAACTAGTCGCCTAGTCTGGACCAGATATAGTGGACTGGACTGGAGAGGAGAGACCGAGCTCTCGACCGAGAACCCCATTCCCCCAGACTTTCCTTCTTTACTATAAATCACCTCCAGACCCTTCTCTCCTCACCTCACCTCACCTAACTCCCTCAAACCTCATCCCACCAAACCAAACAACCTCCTCCAATTGCCAATTGCCATCGCCAATTGACCACCGGCACTATCAGCATCAGCATCAGCATCATGTCCCCACCAACCCTGACCTCACCAACCCCAACCCTGACCCTGACCCCGGAACCGCTCACCCCGTCCGCCTTCCACCCCTACGGCACAGCCATCACCTCACCACTGCCCCGCACCGTGGCCACCCCACCACCAGCCTCCGCCCTGACCGCGCTGCACCCGACCCCCGTGCTCGCCAACCAAAACACCGCCCTGAAGTACAGTCCCATCTCCCCACTGGACGACCACTACGGCAGCAACTGCCCCAGCGGCCGCGCCTCGTCCGCACGCATGACCATGTTCTCCTGCTTCCCGCGCACCCTGCGCCCGCGCCCCTCGACCGGGGCCGGGACATCCGCCGTCTTCGACATCCGCATCCTCGAACGCCACCCCTACACCACCCAGACCTTCTCCCCGCTCGACCTCTCCAGCCAGCCGGCCACCGGGCCCGGCCCGGCCCAGACCCCCGAGCCGGAGCCCTACTATCTGGTCGTCGTGGCGCCCTCGCTCAAGGGCTCGACCGCCCAGGCCACCACCAGCTCCGGGGAGGTGGTGACCGTCGCCGACCCGCCGGATCTGAGCCGCGTCAAGGCGTTCGCCGCGCGCGGCGGGCAGGCGGTCACCTACGGCGCGGGCACGTGGCATGCGCCCATGGCGGTGGTCGGGAACCGGCGCGTGGACTTCTTGGTCGTGCAGTTTATGAATGGCGTGGCGGAGGAGGATGTGCAGGAGGTGGTGTTTGGGGAGGGGGTCGTGGTTGAGGTGGAGTCGGGACTGGGCGTGAAGGCTAGGCTTTGAGGGGTGGGAGTGCTGGTTTACGGCGGTGGGACTGAAGGTTTGGGGGTGATTGGGACGTGGGGTATATTGTATATTGGAGGGGGAAAAGTAGTGTACATAGATTATGTGGTAGATATCGAGATGGGGTGGTAGGGGGAAAGGGGCTGTGGGTAGGTGGGGGGGGGGAATATAATGTACTGTACATATTTGCTAAGTTGTGCGCTGTGCTGAATGGGGAGAGGGATTGGATGCTTGCCGCGATGGGTGTGTTTTATGCTGGGGCTGATGTCGGGCTGCACTGGTCGGGATTAGTGGCTAGTCCTTGTTGACGCACACGTCGCGCCAATTCAATGGTCTCCGAGGGCAGTCCAGCTAGCTGGGCGACTTTCAGTGCGTGCGATTCACGGTTCACGCCCTTGCGCAACCGGTGCACAAATGAGAACCCGCCGCTGACCGTCTCCTTGACATCGGTGCAATACCGGCCCAGCGACTCGAAGTCCTGGGTCATGTCTGCCAGCGCGTGGAAGTGGGTTGCGAAGAGCGTACGGCAGCGGTTGTGATAGTGCAGGTGGTGCAGACACGCAAAGCTCACGGCTGTCCCGTCCTCCGGGGTCGTGCCCCGGCCTACCTCATCCATGATGACGAAGGAGCGCGGAGTCGCCTGCTTCAAGATGGCCGCCGTCTCCAGCATCTCCACCATGAAAGTCGACTGATCGCGGAACAAGTCGTCGGCCGCGCCAATGCGGCTGAAGATCTTGTCGACAATGCCCATCTCCGCGTAGTCGGCCGGAACCAAGGACCCCACTTGCGCCAGGATCGTGATCAGGGCGTTCTGTCGGAGAAAGGTGCTCTTGCCGGCCATGTTGGGCCCGGTGACCAGCCAGATGCGGTCCGGGTCGCCCAGGAAGCAATCGTTGCTGACGAACCGCCGGCCCTGCTCCTCCAGACCCAGCTTGACCGTGGGATGTCGACCGCCTACAATCTTGTGGCATGTGCCCTCGACGAGGATCGGACGGACCAGCCTCTGTTCGTGGGCCAGGGTGGCAAAGGAGCATGCCACGTCCAGCTCGTCCATCACGGCTGCGTTACGGCGGATCTTGACAAGATTGAGGATGACCTCGCGGCGCAGCGTCTCGAAGATCGCCTGTTCTTCCTGCCGAATCTGGAGCTTGACTTGGTCCATCTGGCCGCCCAGCTCGGTCCACGCCGGCAGGTAGAAGGACCGGGTAGACTTGGTCATTGAGACATTCCGTGTCGCCCCCAATTCTTCTAATGACTCTTGGGAGATCTTAGCAGCTTTGACGTGACAGATGTGGCCTAGACCCGGTGTCCATTTGAGGGAGAGGGCTGTCGACCCCACAGCGTCGCGAAGGCGCTGGGTGAGTTCCGCTTTCTCGTTGTGCAGTCGGTCCAATTCCTCGTGGAGGTCATGGAGAGCCGGGCTGGCATCGCGCCGCATGATCCAGGTCTCGAGGGCCGACGCTTCATCGGTTGCCCCGCTGCCACCTCGTTCGCCGCTCTTCGTCCTGACCTTCTTCGGCAGTGTCTCTATTTCGCCCGGTAGGGCTTCACTGAAGGCTACCTCCTGTGCGAGCATTGCTGCTTCAGCAGCCGTGTCATCCTCAATGCGTTGTTTCTGTAGCAATCCCTCTTCATCAATCGCTGCCAAGATCTTCTCAGCCAGGATGATAGGGCCGTTCATATACAGGCGATCCGTCATGGATTTGAGGCTCTGAGCTGCTGGCGTATCCTTGCATTTGCGCTTTTTGCTCATCAACACCCGCCTGATCTCCTTCGAAGCTTCAATGGCTCGAGATAGACATATCAGGTCATCTGCATCTCCCCGCCCCAGAGTGAATTTCTGAACCAGCCGCTGCGCGTCATAGCTCCGCTTCAGGTAATCGATGACATTGCGGTGTAATTCTGCGTCGTCGATGAATGTACACACAAGGTCCAATCGTTCGTTAATCACCGTCATAGACGTCGAAGGTGATGCTGCGATGTGGATTAGTATAAGAATGATGACTAGGCATAAGTGACTATGGGCGTACTTAGGCGATCACGTAGCAACCGGGCACCGCTTTTGGTCGAAGTCCTGCTCACCGCATGAAGCAGACTTCCTTTACCAAAGCCATCCCGGGCTGTCTCTAGTATTTCCAAGCCCCTCAGGCTGTTCCGGTCGATGCTCATGGATTCGTCCAGATCTCGACGCCGCGGAGGCTGAAGCTTCATATTCAACCCTTGTAGCTGCACCCGGATGTATTCAAGAAGGCTGAAGCCAGCAGCTACTTCCTCCGAGGTGAAGGACGCCGCGGCTTTGGCAGATATGGGTGCTTCAAGCACAGGTCCCCACTTCGTCATGGGCTCGATCTTCGAAGGGAATGGGAAAAATGTCATCAACCGGTGGTCGTGCCCGGTCAGCAGCTGCAGCTCTTGCCTGACCCCGTCTCCTAGTGCTTGATCCACCAGGATCTCACGAGCGCCGATCCGGGAAATAGCCGACGGCAGCATCTGCGCCGTGCTGACCTGAGTGAAAAAGTCGCCGGTGGAGAGATCCAGCCAGGACAAGCCTACATTCTGAGACGTGGATGGCAGAACGTGTTGCTTCGTAGCCCCATCGTCCTGCTCTACCTGCTCTTTCACCGAGCTGCCATCTATATAGATTGCCAGCAGGAAGTTATTCTCGGAAGGATCCATGAACTTCTCATCAATCAAGGTACCAGGTGTGATGATCCTCGCGACCTTTCGATCGAATTGGAGCCCCCCGGTGCGAAGCTTGCCCTCGGCATCGTTGGCGAACTCCTCACTAATGGCCACATACTTGCTTAAGTCCTGAACAAGTATCTTGAGGAACCGGTCCAGTTGGAAGAAAGGGAAGCCAGCCATGTATACGGGCCCAGCGCTTGTCCTTCTTATAGCCAGTTTAAGGTTCAGCAAGGGAGCCAACTCTTCGGCTTGTTCGAAATACAGCTATACTCAAGTCAGCAACTATACGCACAAACGAAAGCTTGAGATTTCGAAACTATGAGTTAGGTCATGTCTTCATACTTCGTAGAATCCGCCAACACGGGTCAGCACCACACAATTCCTAAACCTTTGCATGTTGTTCCGATGCCCCTGCAAAACGACAGGGTATTGAGGGCCATCATTGGCGCCATCATCATAAGGTTCCAATTTCAACGCCCCTTGAGGCAAGTCTTTCAGTTTCACAACAGATTTAGATTTGGCAGTTCTATGCGGGACTCTGGAGGTAGGGGTCGCCCTAGGAATGCATAGATTCGGCCTCCGGGCATGATGACAGATGGTGCGGTGGACATGACAGCGGTAAGGAGGACAGCCAGTCCGACCAACACTGGAATGGAGTTGCGCGTTGATCAGGTGGGAGATCGATACTCCATGAAAGCGCATCGTCTCAACCCCGTTCGCGCCGACTTCTTGTCTGTCTTCGCGTGCCGAGAAGATTTCCTTGTATACGCGTTGAAGCTTGACCGAATCGGATAAGAAAGCGGCGGCAGAAACCAGGGCGGGAGATCGATGCCTCAGGCTGCCTCAGGCTGCCACAAGATGTAGCTGTTCCCGTTCGTCAAACCTTCCCGCTTTGCCACTCAAATCTGCTCAGGCTGGGACGAGACCTTGCCGAACTTCGCTAACGCCAACTCCTTCAACTCCGCAAGAATCCCTCCTCCTCCTCAGCAGCTCGCAACCTTGCCGCCGACGAGTGTGCTTTTTCTTGTCGGAGGATGGTCCGGGTTTGTGAAACCTAATTGAACGACTTTACACTATTATACAGAGCCACTCTCATCTCATCCAGTGCTTGTCGCCGGTGCCAACGACGCGCCCGCCGGCTGAATCTGAGCTCCACCGAGCCTCAGACCACGACTCACCTGCACTCACCTCACGATCGTTTTTAGTTTTCTTTTCCCTTCTTATCTGTATCTTGCATTTTCCATCAGAGAACCATCAAAATGGCCGACCAAAATATCTCCCAGTACAAATACTCGGCGATGTCCAACCTGGTTCTCCAGGCGGACCGTCGTTTCATCTCTCGCGTCAACGATGAACCCACCGGTGACCCGGAGTCCCTCGCCGGCCGCATCAGCATTCGGGAAATGGGCTCGAGGATGGCGCGTGACGATGCGCCGAAGACGAAAAAGAAGGCCGGCTTGACAGACATCGAGCGAGGGTCCATCCGCGAAGGCGAGGATGTCCTCGCTCGCGAACAGAGAAAAACCCAGCGGGGTCAACCGGCGCAAGTACGCGGCCAGGGCATTCTGTCCGCTGCCGATGCCCTCGTCGAGGGCCTGAAGTACCGTCCTCGCACCCCTGCCACTCGAGCCACCTATGACCTCATCCTCACAATGACCGCCAGCCACCTGGGCGACGTACCACACGAAGTGGTCCGCAGTGCGGCCGATGCAGTACTGGAATTGCTCAAGGACGAGGATATGAAGGATTTCGACAAGAAGAAGGAGATTGATGACTTGCTGGGCAGTTCGATGAATCCCAAGGAATTCAATGAGCTTGTCAACCTGGGCAAAAAGATCACAGATTACGATGCCCAGGATGATGACGAAGAGATGGGTGACGGTCTGGCTGGCGAAGGAGAGGCGGAATTGGATGAGCGCCAGGGTGTTGCTGTCGTTTTCGACGAGGAGGATGAGGACGATGAGCGCATGGGCACTCTGGACGAGGTTCGCGACGACGACGAACTTTCCGAAGACGAAGCCGACCAACAGGATGTCCCTGGTATTGATGACGCAACGACCGAGAAAGCAGACCTTGAAGGATTAGAGGACGCTGAAGAGATGGTCATCGACGGCGGGTTAGACCGTGGCGACGAACGCGGCAACAAGAAAACCACAGTTCTTGCACGAGAAATCGATGCTTACTGGCTTCAGCGCCAAATCGGCAACGCATATCCGGATGCTCACGTACAACATGAGAAGGCGACTCAAGCGCTCGAGATTCTCGGAGGTAAAGGAGAGGATGGCGAGGTGCGACCTCTTCGCGACGTGGAAAATGACTTGATGGATCTCTTCGATTATGAGCAGCCCGAGCTTGTCGCCACTTTGGTCACCAACCGCGATAAGATCGTATGGGTCACCCGTTGGCGCCGAGTCGCTGAAGACGCGGATGCCCGCCATCTGGTCGAGAGTGAAATGGTTGAAGCTGGACATCGCGCTATTTTGGACGAGATCCGGGGCAAGACCAACCGCGATGAAGGCGCGAGTCGTCCCTCGAAGAAGATCAAGCTAGACTTGATGGATGTGGATGTTCCCAACGCTCCTGAGCAGCCGGAAGAGAAGAAGGATGAGGGAGGATTGGTTCGAGGCCTGCAGCCGAAGAGATTGATCAACCTGGAGAACCTTGTGTTCCATCAAGGTAATCACTTGATGACCAACCCTAGCGTCAAGCTACCCCAGGGCTCGACGAAGCGGACGTTCAAGGGATATGAAGAAATTCATGTGCCTCCTCCCCAGGCCAAGAAAGAGCCTGGCGAGAAGAATCTTTCTACGACCGAGCTGCCCGAGTGGGCTCGCGTTGGCTTTGGGAGTTCGAAGGAACTCAATCGGATCCAATCTAAGTGCTTTCCCACCGCTTTTCACGACGATGGCAACGTGCTTGTCTGTGCCCCCACCGGTTCAGGAAAGACTAATGTTGCCATGCTTACTATCCTCCGCGAGATTGGCAAGAACCGGAACCCGCAGACGGGAGAGATCATGCTGGATGACTTCAAGATCATCTACATCTCTCCCTTAAAGGCCCTGGTACAGGAACAGGTCGGGAACCTCGGCAAACGTCTTGAGCCTTATGGCATCAAGGTGGCGGAACTGAGCGGTGATCGTCAACTTACGAAGCAACAAATTGCTGAGACTCAGATTATCGTCACGACTCCTGAGAAGTACGATGTCATCACTAGAAAGGCCTCGGAGACGAGTTACACCAGACTCGTCCGTCTGATCGTCATTGACGAAATTCACCTTCTCCACGACGAGCGTGGTCCTGTCATCGAGAGTATCGTTAGCAGAACCATCCGTAAGGTAGAACAGACTGGCGACCCAGTCCGAATTGTTGGTCTGAGTGCTACGCTCCCTAACTACCGGGATGTTGCCAGCTTCCTGCGTGTTGATCCTGCGAAGGGCCTGTTCCACTTCGATGGTTCCTACAGACCTTGTCCTCTCAAACAGGAGTTCATCGGCGTTACGGATAAGAAGGCCATCAAGCAGCTGAAGACCATGAACGATATTTGCTACAACAAAGTCCTTGAGCAAGTCGGACAAAAAAGGAACCAGATGCTCATTTTCGTCCACTCTCGAAAGGAGACCGCCAAGACCGCCAAGTACATCAGAGACAAGGCTCTTGAGATGGAGACCATCGGCCAGATTCTGCGCAGTGATGCTGCAAGCAGAGCTATCTTGGCCGAAGAGGCTGAGTCGGTTGATGACGCCTCGCTCAAGGATCTGTTGCCTTATGGATTTGGTATTCACCATGCCGGTCTCAGTCTTGCTGATCGAGACTCCGTCCAGGCGCTTTTCGCCGACGGCAGCATCCAAGTCCTCGTATGTACCGCAACTCTTGCCTGGGGTGTCAACTTGCCTGCCCATACTGTTATCATCAAAGGAACTCAGATCTACTCGCCTGAGAAGGGTAGCTGGGTCGAACTCAGCCCTCAAGATGTCCTGCAGATGTTGGGTCGTGCTGGACGACCTCAATACGATACCTTCGGTGAAGGTATCATTATTACGACGCAAACCGAAATCCAGTATTACCTCTCCCTCTTGAATCAGCAGTTGCCAATCGAGAGTCAGCTCGTGAGTAAGCTTGCTGACAATATGAATGCCGAGATCGTTCTCGGAAACATTCGTACTCGTGACGAGGGGGTTGATTGGCTGGGTTACACCTACTTGTTCGTCCGCATGCTCCGCTCACCCGGCCTCTACAGTGTGGGAGCAGACTATGAAAATGATGACGCCCTTGAACAAAAGCGCGTCGATCTTGTTCACTCTGCGGCTGTAATTCTGGAAAGGGCAGGCCTTGTAAAATATGACAAGAAGACGGGTCGTATGCAATCCACGGAGCTTGGCCGTATCGCCTCCCACTACTACATCGGCCACAACTCCATGTTGACCTACTCTCAGCACCTCCAGCCTAACATCACCACAATCGAGCTGTTCCGAATTTTCGCTCTTAGCGATGAGTTCAAGTACATTCCGGTCCGTCAGGATGAGAAGCTGGAACTTGCGAAGCTACTTGGTCGTGTACCTGTCCCTGTCAAGGAAGGAATCGACGAGCCTCATTCCAAGATCAATGTCTTGCTCCAAGCTTACATCTCTCGCCTCAAGCTGGAAGGACTTGCTCTGATGGCCGATATGGTTTATGTTACCCAATCAGCTGGTCGTATTCTGCGCGCTATTTTCGAGATCTCATTGAAGAAGGGATGGTCATCCGTGGCCAAGACTGCTCTTAACCTGTGCAAGATGGCTGAGCGGCGCATGTGGCCCACGATGACACCCCTCCGTCAGTTCCCGAATTGCCCAAGAGACATCTTGCAGAAGGCGGAGAGAATCGACGTCCCTTGGGGTAGCTACTTCGACCTTGATCCTCCTCGCATGGGTGAGCTCCTGGGTATGCCCAAGGCTGGACGTGTTGTCTGTGATCTTGTGTCCAAGTTCCCTCGCCTGGAGGTCCAGGCTCAGGTTCAACCCGTCACTCGCTCCATGCTACGGGTCGAACTGACGATCACCCCTAACTTCGTTTGGGACGAGACTCTACATGGCTCCGCTCAAGACTTCTGGATTCTGGTGGAGGATTGCGATGGAGAGGAGATCTTATTCCATGACCAGTTCCTTCTGCGGAAAGACCACGCACAATCTGAGATGAACGAGCATCTCGTTGAGTTTACCGTTCCCATATCCGAGCCCATGCCTCCGAACTACTTTATTTCGCTGGTATCTGATCGCTGGATGCACTCGGAAACCAAGATTGCCGTCTCCTTCCAAAAATTGATCCTTCCCGAACGTTTCCCGCCCCACACTCCTCTCTTGGACATGCAAAGAGCACCAGTGAAGGCATTGAAGCGCGAAGATTTCCAGCAGCTGTATCCCGACTGGCAGTTCTTCAACAAGATCCAGACGCAGACTTTCAAGTCTCTCTTCGACACAGATGACAACGTGTTTATTGGTGCTCCCACGGGTAGCGGAAAGACTGTGTGTGCCGAGCTTGCCTTGTTGCGTCACCTATCCCAGCAGGATAGCGGCCGTGCTGTGTACCTTGCTCCATTCCAAGAGCTCGTTGACCAGCGTCTGGCGGACTGGCAGAAGCGACTGAGCCAGCTTTCCGGCGGCAAGAACATCGTCAAGCTTACTGGCGAAACCACCGCTGATCTCAGACTTCTGGAACGAGCCGATCTCGTTCTTGCCACACCAAGTCAGTGGGATGTTTTGTCTCGGCAATGGCGGAAGCGCAAGAACGTCCGGACAGTGCAACTCTTCATCGCCGATGAGCTGCACATGCTCGGTGGCTATGGCGGATACGTGTATGAAGTGGTAGTTTCGCGTATGCACTCCATGGCTTTGGAGATCGAGAATGGCATGCGCATCATTGGCTTGAGTGTGCCTCTTGCGAACGCTCGCGATATTGGCGAGTGGATTGGTGCCAATAAGCACACGATCTACAACTTTAGCCCTCACGCCAGACCAGTGCCATTGGAGCTTCACATTCAATCCTTTACCATCCCGCACTTCCCTTCCCTCATGCTCGCCATGGCCAGACCAGCATACCACTCCATCTTGCAGTTGTCTGCTGATAAGCCGGCCATTGTCTTCGTGCCTAGCCGCAAGCAAACACGTGCTACTGCCATGGACCTGTTGGCTGCTTGTGCCACGGATGACAATGAGGATCGGTTCCTCAACGCGGATGTGAATGAGCTTGCTCCTCTTCTTAACCGAATTCAAGAACAGACGTTGGCCGAGTCTCTATCCCACGGCATTGGTTATTACCACGAGGCTTTGAGTGCTACTGACAAGCGCATCGTGTCTCACCTCTTCTCCATTGGTGCTATTCAGGTTCTCCTCGCTTCCCGTGATGTTTGTTGGGAGCTCGACCTGACGGCACACCTGGTGATTGTCATGGGTACTCAATTCTTCGAGGGCCGTGAGCACCGCTACATTGACTACCCAATCAGTGAGATCCTTCAAATGTTCGGCAAGGCTTCTCGTCCCGGCGATGACAAGCTTGGCCGTGGCGTGCTCATGGTGCCTGCTGTCAAGCGTGATTATTACAAGAAGTTCTTGAACGAGGCTTTGCCTGTCGAGAGTCACTTGCAGGCTTACTTACATGATGCGTTTGTCACTGAGATTAGCACGAGAACGATTACTTCGACCCAAGACGCCATTGATTGGATGACACACACCTACTTTTACCGCCGCCTGCTGGCTAATCCGAGTTTCTACGGTTTGACCGATGTCAGCCACGAGGGTCTTAGTACATTCCTCTCTGAGCTGCTTGAAAACACCTTGAAGGAATTATCAGATGCCAAGATCGTGGATCTGGATGAGGAAGATGATAGCGTCGCTCCTCTGAACGCCGCCATGATTGCCTCCTACTACAACATCTCCTTCATCACTATGCAGACCTTCCTACTCTCACTGTCAGCTCGTACCAAGCTCAAGGGCATTCTGGAGATCATCACTTCCGCCACGGAGTTTGAAAACATCCAGATGCGTCGTCACGAGGACCACATTCTTCGCCGCGTGTATGATCGTGTACCGGTCAAGATGGCTGAGACCTCCTACGACTCGCCCCACTTCAAGGCATTCGTGCTGCTGCAGGCTCATTTCTCGCGCATGCAACTACCTATTGATCTTGCCAAGGACCAGGAAGTTATTGTCAGCAGGGTGCTCAACCTCCTTAGTGCGTGTGTTGATGTCCTCTCGTCGGAGGGTCATTTGAACGCGATGAATGCGATGGAGATGTCACAGATGGTGGTCCAGGCCATGTGGGACCGGGATAGTCCATTGAAGCAGATTCCTCACTTCGGCCCCGAGGCTATCAAGGTGGCGAATGAGTATAAGTATATATCCCCCAGGAATTCCCAGTTGACTCGCGCTAACCCTGCCGGCAGCATCAATGATATCTTCGAGTTCATGGAAGCCATGGATCCTTCCGAGAACAAGGACTACGCAACATTGATCAAGCGTCTTGGTCTGGACAACAAGCAGCTGGCCCAAGCTGCCGCGTTCACGAACGAGAAGTATCCCAACTTGGAGCTTGACTTTGAGGTTGAGGATCCCGAGAACATCACTTCGGGCGAGCCGGCCTATCTCAAGATCAAGATCGAACGAGAGGTGGAGGAGGACGAAGAGCCTGATACGACCGTGCATGCACCATTCTACCCGGGCAAGAAGATGGAGAATTGGTGGTTGGTCGTCGGCGATGAGAAGACCAAGAACTTGCTCGCTATCAAGCGGGTCACTATCGGCCGGAAGCTGGATCTGCGTCTGGAATACATTGTTCCAACGCCTGGCGAGCATGAGCTGACGTTGTACCTGATGAGTGACAGCTATGTAGGTGTGGATCAAGCTCCTACTTTCTCGGTCACAGCGGCGGAGGGTATGGATGAGGACGAGAGCGAGGATGAGGAGGAAGAAGAGTAGACAATTCCTCCCATGGTCTGAATTTGGAAGTTTTTGTATGATTGTCTGTAATTATATGTTCTAATGGGGAGGTACGATGATTTAGACATGTCATTTGTGATGAGTACTCCAATATCCTGTAAGCAGCGGTATGGTATCCCAATTAGGCCTCCCGGAGAAGAACAGGAGCAAGTCAAGTGCGGCAGTGGCCAGCCGCCCTGACGCCACCTCCGCTCTTCTTCCCCTCACGGTCCCCAACTCACAACTTAACAACTCACCTTAACTACCCTTTCATCCCTTTATCTTCACTCTTCATCCCTTGGCATTCTCTGCTTCTCTGATAATAACTATTCATTCTCCTTCATCCTGAAGTTCACTCTGGGGTGCATTGACTGCGCTACTCTTATCACCAGCTGGAGCTACAGCACCACCGCATTCGAGCTATCTATCTTATCTATCGGGCCCTTGCCGGTCGCAGTGTCATGACCATCCGATCCATGAAGTTCACTCCAGAGTATGTGATCGCTTGGTTTCAGCCTGTTGTGATCTTGCCTCCTTGTCAATGAAGCTTGCTACACTTAGATCCTTGCACTAATCCGCACCAGAGTTCTCCTGGGAGCTCCTCGGCGCTCTGGCCCTGTGCCGAATGCCTCAGGCACCCTTGCGGTGTACACCCAGACCACCTATTCGTTCGAATCCCACTCCAAGACCAACGAGATCCGAGTCTTGGATATCGAGAGCGGCCGATCGGCTTTGATCACAAACGACGCTGGTGCCAGCTGCCCTCAGTGGCTAGGTGATAGCAATCAGCTCGTCTGGCTGAAGGCCAAGGCGAACGGCAACACGAGCTTCATCATCGGCGATGCGCGCGAGGCAGACAAAACCTATACCGCGGGCACGGTTCCTGGCCCAGTCTCGGATCTCAAGGTCACAGTAGTCGAACAGGGAAGGATTGGCTTTGCGGTCACCGGCAAGGCCAACACGGACGGCACCTTGTACAACCCGCACGACGCGAAGAAGCCGACCAGCACCGGGCGCCTTTATACTTCGCTGTTCGTGAGACACTGGGACTCGTACGTTGAGCCCCAGAAGAATGCCATCTGGTATGGTCTGCTCCAGCAGGCGCCCCTGTCTCCGCCCACTCGACAAGCGGGCAAGTACGCTGTCTCAGGGCTCACCAACTTGATTCAAGTGTGTGGCTTGACGGGCGTGGAATCGCCGATTCCTCCGTTTGGGGGCACGGGCGACTTTGACATCAGTCCGGAGGCCATTGTGTTCGTGGCCAAGGATCCGAGCTTGAATCCCGCCACACACACGTCCTGCTCATGCTACTACTGTCCGATGTTCTCCTGGACAAGTGTGACTGCAATGGAGACTCGAGTGTGCGCTGTGAAGGGCCTCGAGGGAGCCATGTCTTCCCCAGTTCTGACTTCGGATGGTAGCTCCATCGCGCTCCTTGCGATGCGCGAGGACGGCTATGAGTCAGATAAGAGACGAATCCTCTACGTGCCCAACCCCTGGAGTGGTGAGATGATCGAGATCTTTGCATCGCCGGATGGAGAAGGCGCCTGGCCTCTGAGTCCATCGGGTTTGACTTTTGCACATGACGACAAGTCGCTAATAATCCAGGTCGAGGAGACCGGACGAGGAGTTCTTTACCAGCTACCCCTAGATAATGTCCGCCACTCCACTCCTGATGTGCTGAAAAAGCTGACACATTCGGGATTTGTGACGGAGGTGTACCCCGCAGCGGCCAACTCGAGTAACTTACTCATCGCTAGTAGCAGTCTTGTGGACAACAGCAAGTGGTCTATAATTGATCCCGAATCGCCCAAGGACGTCCGTGTTATATCCTCGATCGGACGCGACGGTGCTTCTTTCGGTCTCTCGCCCACGCAGGTGGATGAAATCTGGTACCGTGGCGCCAACGATACACCCGTACATGCGTGGGTGGTGAAGCCGTCCAACTTCAAGCCCGGGGAGAAGTATCCGCTGGCATATCTGATCCATGGAGGTCCCCAAAGCGCATGGTGCGAGCAATGGAGCACTCGATGGAACCCGGCTATCTTTGCCGAGCAGGGATATGTTGTCGTCACACCCAATCCTCGCGGCAGTACCAGCTACGGGCAGCGATTCACGGACGAGATTCGTAATGCCTGGGGCTCGCTACCCTACGTTGACCTTGAAAAGGGGTTTGACTACATTGCCGAGAACCTGGACTACGTTGATACTTCGCGAGCGGTGGCACTTGGCGCCTCTTATGGCGGGTACATGGTCAACTGGATCCAGGGTCACCCATTGGGCCGGCGGTTCAAGGCGCTCGTGACGCACGATGGAGTGTTCAGCATGAACTCTATGCTCGCCAGTGAAGAGCTCTACTTCCCGCTGCGGGATCTTAAGGGGCCGTTGTGGAAGGTGCCCGAGAACTGGGAGCGTTGGGATCCCTCTCGTCATACAGCCCACTGGCAGACACCGCACTTGATCATCCACAACGAGTTGGACTACCGGTTGACCATCGCGGAGGGGCTTGCTGCATTCAATGTTCTGCAACTGCAGGGGGTAGATAGCGCTTTCTTGACCTTTCCGGATGAGAATCACTGGGTGCTCAACCCGGAGAACTCGCTCATGTGGCATTATACGGTTCTGAACTGGATCAACAAGTACACAGGTCTCCCGGCGGCCTCGAGCAAGTATGCCGAGTTCAGCGCGACGAAGGCCCCATCAATGGAGAAGCGGCTGGAGACTGTGTCATTGTGAGTTGGTGGGTTAATGAGAACTAGGATAATGATTTAGTCACACGTCAATACAGCGTTTATTGTTTTGTGGTTGATTCCATTGTTGTGGGGGTTGTCACAAAGGAATAATGAAGCAGCCCTAATTTGGAGGTGAGCCCGAGTGACCCCTGCGGGTGAGATAATGGACTCGACGCATAAAGGGATTGCCGTGCGTTGTTTGCTGTGAGACAGAGAGACTTAATATAGCCAGTAGTCTTGTTCCAGCGACGACAAAAGATCGAGTCGACGAAAGAACAATAGAGGGATAAAGACAGTGGTTTTGTATGTGCAGCTCGGCGTGGTGTTTCGGTTTCGAGTTATTATAGCATCTCAGTTGGCTGCGATGGGGGTGTGTTGAACCAACAAAGGAGGACGAGTTGTATAACCACTGCGCTGTCCTCTGTAGCAGGAGCATTAGATTTACGATTTGTTTTCTTCCTCCACGCCTGGTGCATATACAAGCAAGTTTGAGTGATTTTTGAAGATACACAAGTTGAAGAAGTTCAGAGTGATCGATAATCTACAAGCCAATGTCGACGAGAAAGACATTCGAGATGTCTCCGCGACGCAATGGAAACGGCCCTCCCACGCCGCGCATCATCATCGTCCCGGCTTCACCCCCCACTACCTCCTCTCCCACCACTGCCGATTCCGATGAGGAGGAACGCTTCTCGCCCATGTCCATTAGTCCGACGAGTCCGAGGACGACGTTGATTGCGCCCCCGCGACGATTCCGTCGTCTGCTTCCTGCGCCTGAACGGCCATGTCCACCACTACAGCCACAATCACAACAATCACAATCACAACCACAACCACAACCACAACAATCACCACAACCACTACAACCACAACAACCACTACAACAACAACACCCAGAACCAAGAACCACCCACCCCTTAAGCCCCGCCTTCCCCCTCTCGCGATCCTTCCAAATCCACACCTTCATCCCCTCCCCACCACCCTCACCACCCTCACCACCCTCATCACCCTCATCACCCTCATCACCCTCATCACCACCACCACCCCCAAGAAAATCACCAC